GAGGATGCAGGCATAGAGAGCGGCCACAAGCTGGTGAACTAACAGAGAGCAGCTAGCAGGTTGGGAACGTTTATCATCAAAAAGACCCTGCTCTTCCCAGCGTGTTTATTTTGGGAGTGCACTTATTGTGTATGTGTGGCTTATCTCTGCGGCTCAGGGAAAGTATGGATCAGCTCACTGCTCTCATGCTGGCTGACAGGCAGCTGCCGCCGCAGAGCAGGGACAGCCACTGCTGCCCGCATCCTCCTCCACCTCAGCTAGCCAGGGGCTTGCCTTCACCCCACTTCCATTGAAGGGATTTCTTCCAGTTGCTTCAAAAAATACAGGGAGATGAAGGTCAGTGCTCAGGAAGCTGGTGTTTGGGTAACGTTTTCCAGGTATAAATGAGGATTTGCTTACGCTCAACACAAAGGCTGCAGAGAAAAATTAATGATCTTATCAGGTGAAGCAGGTGTTGTGGTCACACCGTCAAGGTCACTGGCATTAACAAAACACTCTGAAAGCAGAACGGTGGCATGTTCCCAGCAAGGTGCTGGAGTGTTGCAGAGATAATGTGCTCGGCCTCGAGGGGAAAAAGCGCGATGCGCTAACAGGGCTAACAGCTGCTGATGGCACAGTGCTGGGGGCAAGGAGAGGAGCTCTGACATGCGGCCTGCGGAGGAGGCTGCAAACAACTGGCTGATTCCCTGCTGCCTCGCCCCTGCCAAGACCTCAAATGCTTGCGCCAAGCAAATACAGCATATATGCTAAATGCTATCACGTCAAAAACGCTGAGTCTTAGCGCCATTTGCACAGATGTAAAAATCTGCAGAAAGTGCAAGGTAGGGGAAAATGAGGCCTGTAAATGCTCATGCGAGAAGGATGTGAAAGGAGCCTCAGAAATGCAGTTTTAGGGACTAAGTGCACACAGCTTTTTGTAGCTGAGCTCAGCAATGCCCCAGGAGCACTGAGTCACAGCAACTTGCACACATTTTTATCATTTCTTCCTGCTAGCACTGCAGAGCTGCTGCACCTACAAAAGAGATCCCAGATCTCTCTGGGATCAGCAGACCAGGCAGCTTCAGGCTGGCAGCACAGCTCCCCTCTGCCTAACTCCCACCTCTGGGTGCTGCCATGCCTTCCTTGCCTGGCAGCTGCAGTGATATTTCAGCATCGGAGCATGAAAACATGAACACCGCTGACATGGGGGCAAGAGCACCTCCACCCATTCCTCCCCTTAGCAAACTCACATGGCCCCTATAGTCTTGTTGAGGAGGCCTTGACATTGCACTCCCCACAGCACACCCAACTTTTGTTGCTGGCGTTCCAGCAATGAGGAAGCATTGTCCTACCAACCTCAGGGTGAAAACAAAACCTCCTCAGTTTGGAGCACACTGGTCCAGAAATCACTGCTCAAAGGCACCACAGGGCACTCTAAAAAGTGCATGTTGATATAAAGACCATCAGCAGCCACCGCTGCCTCCTCATCACCGAGAAACGTGTCACTTCAGGAGATCTCAGAGCAAAGGAGGCTGAAGTGCAGAAGGACTCACAGAGGGCCAAGGAGCTGTGAGGGTCCCGGCCAGACCATCTGCTGCCAGGGAGGGATGTGCTGTGCTGCTTCCTGCAGCCGGAGGTGCTGCCCTGGTGCAGAAAGCATAGTTAACACCGGACTGATTGTCAGAAAAAATAAGAACAAACAGAAAGCCAGAGCATGACAGCTTGTGCCATCTGCCTGGAACACGAACTCAAGTTTTAATAGCACCAGCTATATCATTTTTAACAAACATTTTTGTATTCAAATCTATTTTCTGCTTAAAAGCCCTCGAACAGAAAGAAGCCAGCAGTGTGCGCTCACACCTGCTGCCCTCTCATGGCTGTGAAGTTCTGCATCAATGGGGATGGCCATGCACTGCTAGGCAGTACATTTTTCTTATGCCTTAGTACAGAAAAGTCTGCTGAAAAAGCCTCACAAAAATATGGTGAGGTGAGGATCTTTCAAAAGAAGACGCACAACTAATAGGCGAGTAAGTAATAGTAAGTAAGGCGAGTAACTAATAAGGAGAGTGTAAAACAAGAACTGTATTTTTGATGCACTTCTCTTCAGCTCTATTGGACAGATTCTTCTTCCTTCATCAGCTGCATTCCCTATTTGACAGATTACAGAACCAAAGTAAGTGTACTTTCCACCCAGAGTTCCTAAAACTCCAAAAAACAACAGATACAGCATGAGCAACTTGCTTAACAGTATTTGGTCTGCAAACTCATTTTACATGCCACATGTGCTGGGCAGTCCAGTATCAAAATAAATGGAATGCCTTCCTCTGCTTGGGCACCCCAGACTTTTTCCACCTCGCCACTGCATTTGAGCCCCAGTACAAAACCACTTAGGTAAGGGATGAGAGTAGCTGCAAACATTTTAATAGAGCTGACACAGCATGAAGAACTTCATGCATAGCAGAAATCAAACACAGCCAATCTAGAAACCTCCAAAATCCTTCCACTTGTTTCTGAGCCATGTGCTCTTTTGGCACTTTTCTGCCACAAGAAATGTGCCTAAGATGCAGCTTTTGGAAAGAATGGATCAGTAGAAACACTGCATGCTTGTCCTGAATTTGGCATGTACCATGACACCAGTAATTTGGTGTGATCCTACTTGGGATGCCTAGAGACAGAATATGCACCCACCTACTTTCCATGTTTGTCCAAGACCAATTGCCCACCTCAACCAGCAAAAGACCAAAAGTAATAATGTGTAGCAGCCCTATTTTTGAAGCTCTTTAAAAGACAGAGTAATAGGAGAGGCAGCACCCTGGTGGGACAGCTCTATTCCCTCTATTCATCATGGTAGGTTAAAGAAATAAAAGCAGTTACAATTCTGCTACAGCAGACTCAGGCTGGATCTAAAGGCAAATTAAGTTTCACCATCCACATTAAGAAAGCAATTCAGCTCCTGAACTGGATCAGCTTTGATTTCAATCTCAAGTCTGCTGTTGAGCAGCAGATAGAATTATCAAAACACGCTTTATTTGTTTGTGAACTTGACTTTAGGACCCCAAAAGGAGAAATGTAAGCTTGGTCCAGTTATAGTGAAACTGGTTCAAAACACTGGAGCTGGTCCATCAAGATAAATCTCCTACTGGTGATTTGATATGGCAGATGTTTGATGAGTAACTCTGACAGAGCAAATGCCTTTTTAACTAGAATTTTTAAATGGCATTATTAAACCACTAAAATGTCGTTATGTTTGAGGGGAAAAAGCATAATACGTGAAAAACTATTATTGCAGAGCACATACAGCACAATTTTTCAAGCACTGGTTTAAAAATTTAAGCCATTTGAATAAAGGTTCTCTCTGAGGAAAGTCACTTTGTAACCAATTCAAGCCTTTAAATAGCTATTGTTTAAGAAAATTGTCAGTTACATCGATTATTTTTCCTTCAGATTCCAAGCCCTGCCAAGCCAGGTTGATTAAGATGTTGCATTTTAAAAAAATGAGGCAATCTAATTACCCTTCATAAAAAGTGAAAACAGCAACTCAATTTTTAAAGCATCTTGAACAAAAGGCTATAGCCCATCTCTCACTCGCATATGGATTCGTGTAATGATTCTTCAATTAGAATTATTATCTATACAGCAGCTGAAGACTGAGAACTGCTGATACACTGCAGATGAGAACATTTGGTAGTCTCTGGGCTCCAGCCTTTCTTAAAAAATGATGATCGCACAATATAGATCGCTCGGTTTATACGTGTATTAAGCTGCAATGCCAGCATTTACATTTGCAACATTACAGTTTTGCTTTCTTAGGCTCAAGAGAATTTGCTGCATCTGGTAGCTTTTATTTGCTTTGTATCTGAGGCAATCGTTACGAATGAAGCGTGAATAGGCAATATTATTGCTCAAATAGTCCTTAGTTTTGTTCATTATCTCAGACACTACAGAAGTAAACGAAGTGCTGGTCTGTGAGATGGGTCATTCAGTGTCAGTTTGCTCACACTGTATTTTCTCAGTGCTATTTTTTACAAGACAAGTCCATCTGCTCCTTCATTTATTTCACCTACGTAGATCCAGACAGCTTAAGACGTACCATCAGAGGGAAAGAAAAGCATCTCACAGAACAACTACAGGCACCTTAGGAGGCACAAGTCACTTCAGTGACACAAACTGCAGGACTGTGAGGGGTTCCTGCCCACCCACACACCCTGCTCTGGTACAAAAGGTTATTCAGAAGCAGGTATCAGCATCTATGTTTTCTGCAGAAATACAACAGGAAACATGCCTGCTTCACAGGCACAGTTTTTCATACCCTCAGTGCTCACTTTAACACACCTCAGTTTCAGCAGTTGTTCCAACAGTATGAATTGTGGCAGCAGCCAAGCAGACGGATGGCTTTGCTGCCCCTGCTACAGGGCAGTAACTTCTGGCAGAGCAACAAACCAGCAGCAAGAATAGTAACCTCCTACATTTCTGGATGTTAAATTCTTCTGGAAAATTTCACATGCTTGCTTCTTGTTTCACCACCGATAGCTACATGTTGTGTCCTACAATGAGAGACAGGAAGCTTCACAAATAGCAGCTGAGATGCAGCCTTAGTAACTGTGGCATCTGTTCATAGTGTTTTACTAAGAATTCCTGCTACACAACCCCAAGTGTTATCTAAAGCCCACGCTGTCTTCCTAAACATCTCAATAGCACAGTGGATGCTGGAGATGACATGCTGGCTCTGGCAGGTCCCTGAGGCTCATAGAGCCCTTTGGTGTCACATGCATATATAGAGGACAGGAAAAAGGATGCACAATTAATTTTCTGAGCCAAGGAACTTGTTACTTCATTGTGCAATCTCAGAAAGACCTTCGCAGAAAGCAAATATCTCTAATGCATTTGTTTTACTCTTCGTATGTTGACAAAGCTACGCCCAAGTTATTGCCATCTTTCAGCAGTGCTGCTGTTAGTGGCTGAGACCTGCCACAGACATGAAATCTTCCCGTATTATATAAAGAAAATGAAGACTCAATAGCTGTGTGTTCCAGTATTATTTTATTACCTCATTATAGACATCAGTGAATAGAGAATAAGTGGCTTATATTCTTCCTTGAAAAATACGAAGTTTATCTATTGAATCTCCTGTTTCAAGTATGTCATAAATAACCATTTCTTCTCCATTTATTTAAATTTAAATATAACCATGATATTATATTATGCTTCTGTCTCTAAAAACTCAGTATGCATTACAGCTTAACACGCTTAAAGGAACAAAGCAAGGAAATAAAACTGTGAACTGGTAAAAGAAAACATACCAAAGTAACATAACACTGATATTTAGTTCAAGAGATCATACCTCACAATGGGCACAATTTTCAAAGTATTTCAAACTGTGTGGTTTCAGGTAGCATCACTGAGACCTGTGAAAAGCCCTAGTGACACTAATGCAAAAAAAAAAAAAAATAAAAAATAAAAAAATAACCAGAAGTCTCATCTTAAAATGTTTTTCAATTAGAAAAATACAATGTTTAAAAGCACAGCATCAGAATGAAACACTTTAATTCTTTCCCTGAATACTTGTTCAGAGAGATGTGTTGAAACTTTTATGTTTGATTTCAAATGGGAAACATTTTGAAGGCAGGAGAAACACTATCTGAGAAAGCAGTTCAATCTAGAGTAGAAGAGAGTGAATTATTTGCAGCAGACAATTTATTACAGGAACATAAAAGGCAGAGGTCTTTTCCTCTCAGAAAAGGCAATTGCTGCTTTGTTTTCAGTTTCAGGATACTGCTTATCAAATCCTTATTGTAGCTACTACCACATACCACCCTAAGCTCTCATAACAATAACTCTAATATGTGTGATCTGCAATAACCAATTAAATCACTAACTGACACTCATTCAAGCACAAGACAACAATATCCCAAAACAGGAAGAAAGGCATCACTAAGGCCCTGTGGTTTTCACTGGCTGCTCCAATACGCTGAGTGCAGGGTGAGCTGCACAGCTCTGTCTCCCAAGGCTGAATGAGAGCTTTACTGACTAGAAAAACTGGTATAGCATCATCTCAGATCAAAACAAAACAATATTTACATCTAGTTATGGCCACAAGGACTCAGTGGTCAAGCTGCATTACCTTTCTCTTAAGACATGATGGTACAACAAGTACCAACTGACTCCTGAGAGCCCTCACTTCCACAAGCCTTATTGGGCCTGAAGCGTAACTGCAGCAATAACGATGTAGGAGCAGCAGTTCAATTTAGGCTAAAGATACAATGAACTTCACTGAGTCAGGCCACCTCGATGGCAACCAGCATACAATAGTTCCACATATTAACATCACCTCTTGTATAAATTCATTTGAGCACAGCAGAGGGACAATTCTTTCAAAAGCACTATCTATACTGATAAGGCAGTTTGCAGAGGGCTCTGAGGATATGCGTCTCAGATCCCACAAAACAAAGTAACAAGAATGTTTCCTGACATTAAGAACTCATTAACTGCAGTGTCCCAAGGATTACTGCATTACAAATAAAGCAAGATGTATTCAAATGCTAAGCTCACTTTGAACAGTAAACGACATAAAAATCTACATACAGTGTGTTAATTACATTCAAGAATAATTAACAAAAATTTTTGTAACCTACAGCACTGTCATTCCAGTGATATGGAACCTTTGTTTCAGGAACAGACTCTGAATCCACTGTTCCATTAATGAATTCAAATCAGTTCCATTAATGAATTCAAACACAGACAACAGTGCCAATGGCAGAAGATGCAGAAGCAGATGTCTATAACTCTTAAAAACACTGGGTTAAAAATGCCAAAACATCCTCTGGTCTCACTGGATCTTGAAACTGCTGCAGTCATCCCACAAAGCATTCCACCTTTTGAGCGGATCTCTGACCTGACTGCTCTATTCATGAGCAACTACCAAAGAAGAGATGAAATGTATACAGAGGGCAACTCTCACTCCACTGCCTCACATTTTCATCATTGCACTCCCTCAAAATTCCTTCAGGTTGCTGAGCTATGCAAATGTTTCCAAGAGCTGAGTACTAACAGGATATTAGGTATTCTAAGTTCTTTGCCACTGAGGGCTGCTTTGTTCTAGGCAGCTCATGAGAGGTAAGAGTGCCTAAAAAGACCATTATTCCAACTCCACAGTTTCTTCATCCAGTTTCAACACTGTATTTACTAAGGGTTATCCCAACACTTCTATATAAATCTTCGGAAATAAAAGAAAAATAGAAAGTAAGCTGAGTAAAAGCAAGACATTTTGAGAGCAGTAAAACATTTCTTGTTGGTTGTATAGCTAGACAAAAGAAATTTAATCACTGCTACAGAAGATCTAGTTAATCAAAATGTGCTTAAATATTCTGTGACCTGATGAACACCAGCCCCAACAGTCACCCACAGACTGACAGGTCAGCTGAAGGCTTTTATGAATGCAGAGCTTTACTTTGGCATATTAAGTACATTTACATGGTGCAAAATGCTTACTTTCCCATAAGAGAGAATAGGAGAAAATCACCTATTTCCTTTAAACCTAAATTTCACCCCAAAATTTTTCAGTGTTCTTTTCAGATCAGGACCAAATTCTCTGCACTTCAGATTCACAGTGCTAGTCCAGTACAAACCTGCATACTTCAAACAAAAGTGCATCTTCCTTTGTTACTATGTCTGTACTTTCTGGTCTTCAAGTTGGTCTGTGCCTGTGTTAGCTGTACATGTTTCATTCACACTTTCTTTCCCTTTCCTAGAAGCCTTCAAACACTTGTCCAGTCTTTTTAGGAAGATGTCTACATCTTGCTTTTTAATTCCAATAGCTGATGCAGCATTAAGGTAAGCACAGGAGTAGTCATTTGCATGTGACATAAAGCCTTTGAAAGTGTAGTTATTCACTGTTTGCACAGACCCACGAGGAACAACCCTGAAATAAACAGAATTGTGATTGAGTTACAAGATGCCTTAAATATTTTTATGTGATACACTACAATTAACATATTTACACAGATTTCTATGCAGTGTAATATCTGCTAAACAAATTCCTGTAGTTGGGCTTGGAATGGGTATTCTCCAAATTAGGGCTTAAGGATTGCAGTGACTGACAGTGGTTAGCAGATCCTCAGTTAGATAAAGTCTGTGGGCACAGGTGAATATTCATTCCCCTCCTCAGCCAAATTTTCATCTTTTCTGCTGGCATTTATGAGCTCCTCAGCATGACATGAAAGACATCTGCAGCCAACTTTTCTATTCCATAACAAGACCTAACTATCAGACATGCTGTCTCTCCTCAGACAGCCTCTGAAGTCACCATGCCGGGAGCAGGCTTAGGGCACACATCTGCTCAGCATTGTGTTCTGCAGCCCAAAGCTTCTGGGTTCAAGTGCTTCACAGGGCTCAGCCTTCCAAGTAGCTGGAACTACATTTGCACCACTGTCTACCATCCTTTTGTGACATTACATATCTTCCCAAACCAGGTCCCTAATCCTTACTGCCTTCTGCCTCCTCTTTCAGTCTACTCCCTCAAATCAGGATCTTAATTTCCTCACATGTATACCTTGGTACTACAGCTCCCCTTTCCCTCATCCTATGACGGTAATCTTTATTCCCTTCTCAAAAGGATGCTGTTCAGCACTGCTTTTACCTCTTCCTCATAGGAAGAACCACTTCCTACAACACCCTATTTCTCAGGGCTTTTGGTACACATTCATTCCCTGATAAACCACAACCTTAATCTACCTCTTTCCTTCGTCAAGGAACATCTCACCTTATGGCTACAGTTACAGCTTACACAAGCAATTAACACCAATCAACTGATAAGAATTTGTTATCCTTGCAGAGACAGCCCCTACAGTTCATGTAAGAAACTGTATTCAGACAAATACCACTCTGATTGCCACATCCTTTCCGTGCCCAAGTGCTCAAATGCCAGGTTATGGCAAAGCCCGTGTATGAGCAATGCAGGGAGCTGCTATTGCCACCACTGCCATGTAATTCAAGGCTAATGTTTAAAATCTGTTGAAATGCCATGTCAAACAGTACATGTACTGCAAAAGAATTGCTTGCATATAAAAGGAAAAATCTGAAACCTTTGAGTCAGACAAAGAGTTGGAGAGCCTTAACTTTTCAAATATGGAATCTCAGCCAGCGATGACTTAAACTGCAGGACATGCCAAGACTGGGAAAGGTGAATTAAAAAGAGCATCTAACTACAGAACATACAGATTTACTGCCATTTCTCTGTGCAGAAAGTGGAATAATCCAAGCTAATGAAGCATACCTTCCGATGTGGAAACAATCAGCACTGATACAGAAAATCACATTCAGTCCACAGCAGAAGCTGGCATGGAAGCAGTAATATTCATATTAAGGAATTCTCCCAAAACAAATTTTAAATCATTCTCTTCTTCTAAAAGGTTTAAGCCAAAATCATTACAAATGATTTGATTTACGTTTCCATGTACCAGTATCACTAAGAATAAATTCAGCTCAGACTGGCTCAAGTTGCAGAGTTTTTCTTTTAAATATAGCTAGTTCCAGAAAGTAGGATTTTCTTCCATATGACAGAAAGCTAAGCAGAGTATTAAAAGCTTATTCCCCTGACATCCAGCGCAACCATATTTGTGCTGCAATAAACAGAACAAAGATCTTTCCTAAGCAGCTTACAACCAAACTGTAAGATCAGACAACAGCTGGAAACTAAATGAAACCAAGGGGTTCTAGGAAATAATGACACTAAATTAAAGGGGGATAGATTATCTATTTAGTACACCAAAGCTAAAAGAGAAGGCCTTGTTGCTAACTCAGGCAGGTAGACACATTATTAGTACATAATACTGAGGAAGAAAGGTATGCTTTTGGACTTGTAATTGCCAGACTGAAGTCTGTAATCATGAGACAACTGGTAGAAAGTAAATATTCTATTACATATTTTATGAAATCTTAATACAACTCCCCAGAATTTTCAAATTCACAGCATTCTCACCTTGCTCCTGAAACTTGTCTTGTAAAAAGCATAGATCCAAGCTGGGTAACAGCAGCATCATTATTTTCATCTAGATTCTTCAGTGACATGGCTGAAAAAAAAAAGCACCACAGTGGATAAGGTGTCTTCCAACAATAACAACCTGTCCAAGGATTTGTGCTCAGGTACAAAAGAAAAATAAGCATAAATATTACATTTTAGCATTTCCAGTTTTCCACAAACTGGCGTGGATTACTTCTTTGGTTGGGCTGCACGTAAGGCAGAGATCCTGCACAGGGGTGTAACATTACTTTGGTGTTCAGCAGAAGTTTTGGTTAGAACAAATATCCCGAGTAGTACAAAAATATAAGATGATGTGTACAGCAATTATATCCTAATTTATTTTAAAACCTATTTATTTATAAAGTAACATGCTGACATCTTCTGCCTGCCTTGACTACAATAATTGATTATGTTGCACAGGAGCAATTTTGTAAAAGGGGCCTGAGTCACAACCCTACTGCTCTGCTTTTATAATAGGTTACCTTATTGGGTTCAATGGTTTCATCTTGGCTTTATAATAATTTAATGGAGTGCAGTGTGCAATGCCTAATGTATAGCAAATGTATACGTTAAGTGCATTATGAATGCACACCATATTAGAATTTCTTTTTAAAGATTTAAAACCCCACAATTACCTAAGGATATGGGATTATGCGGTGTATCCAGCAGTCTCTCATTGTGGATATCTGCCAACTTCTTCAACTCACTTGAAAGATAGGAAAACATTTCCTGGAAGAAAAAAAAGAACAATATTTTTGTTACTGGCTATCAAACACAGAAAATACCACTACTGCACAAAACTTTTAAGTCTCTATTACAACCTTTATAAGCACATCGAATAAGTTGGACAGATACTTCTCTGAAATCCATCCATAAAGGAACAGCTCCATTTCCTTAACCTTGTTCTTCCTCTCAGGATGGCAGAACGCTCTCTATCTGAGATAATATACATACTTGGGAGGTCAGCCATTCTCTCTGCGAAACTGAAACCCAGAGGAGCAAAATCTTGAAGAGATTAGCACTCTACAGTCCTCCCCCATATTAGTATCCTGTTGAAGGAGTTGACCTTTACCCACTCCTGCAAGAGCCTCCCCTCACTCCAGTCCCATGAGCCAGAGAACGAACCAACACAAATGACCAACTGCTTCCTGTATTATTTTCTATTAATACATTTCAGACTAAAACAATCACTTTTTGTTAACACTTGTACCATCACAGCTACCATTAGTTCATAGACCTCTCTTTCTGTACAAGAAAGGCAGTATGCCTTTTTTTTAAGCAGAGAAAGATATGAGTACATGCAATTGTATTTTCTACATACATTCCACTGCCAGTCCTCCTCCTATCACCCACCTCTCCTGTACAAGCCTCCTAAAACAACAGAGGTACCTGAATTTCTGATGCCACTTAGATTCCACTCTGATTGAGAAAGCATTGTGAAACTGGAGTTCATAAACATTCTGGCTAAGATGCCACTCTCACACATTAAAGCCTGCTTCGCTTCCTTCACCACTGCTTCATTTCTGTGATAATCTATGATAGCTGCTCACACTCCTCCTCAGTTCATTATCTTCCTCATCACATATCAGCTCAAAATGCAACACAGTAAGAACAAACACCATTCTCCTTATTGTGCTCTTTGGCTGCTTTTTTGTCCTTTTTAATGCTCAGTTTCTCATAAATACTAGCAAAAAGATGCAGATACTGGGTATTCTTTTTAAAAAATACTGAACACCATCTTTTTCCTCTTTCTGATTGTGCTGCTCATCTACTTCAATGTGACTGCCCGTTTCAGCATCCTCATCAATTTCTGGACCTGACAAGTGATTTTTCATTCCTTAAATAGAGTTGTCTCTCCTGCTTGCAGACCAGTATCCTGCTCTGACCCGCACACTCTGACAAATACAAATTATAGCTTGTGATCAAAATTATGCTCTTAAACAGAGCCTCCCACAGGTCTTATGAAACCAAACGAGTTTTGTAGCAGCTAAGTTAGAAGGATGTTACAGCTGTTTAAGCCACTGCAGTGAGCCCAGCCTCACTTCACGAGCAAACAAATGACCGCCGCTCCTGACCTGTGCTTCCTAATACCATGGGATGAATTCTGCCAGAGAAAAAAAGTGGGATTCTGCTCTATGAACAAATTCTGTCATGGATTCATTATCAACAAGAGCATACAGCTGCTGTAACACTTGGAACAACAACAACAACATTGGAGGCATCTGTGATTCTTTATCAGAACTCAAAATGTGTGAAGAATCATTTATATTTTGCAGAGGCATTCTGAAATGAAATGATTTAGTGGTTTCAATCCATCAGTTTATTTACAGTTCACTTGCAGAAGTTGAAAAACATTTACTCAAATATTCAAACACATCTCCCTTCCCCCCAGTCCATCACCGAACACAAACACATTACTCATGTGTTATTTGCTTTCCACAATGAGCATCGTTAATATGTTTAGCCATTAGATCAGTACTTTTTGTAATCTAATTCATAAATTAATCTGGGCTCCCTCTGCTGGCTATTTACTTTACAGCTGAACTATACATCAACTCTGCCTACTGTGGAGGTATTATCTATGAAACTAGTTCGAGAAAAACTTCTCTTGGAGCAGGAAGAAATTCCCAAGTAATTCATTTCTGTACATCACATCTAAGGAACTCTCTCTTGCATCTCTTATAGTATATACTTATTACATAAGGACTCCAAGTTGTTACAACCAGTGACCCACTGTACAAACATATTAAATAAAATACCTAGGTTACTAGATCAGCCTTCAAAAATGCAGCAATTTGGCAGAACAGGAAAGAATAGAAAGATGGGGAAAAAAAAAGAATCCAAGTGCACATTTTATGTGTTTGACTGCACACATTCAAAAACTTATTTTTATGAGCTACTGCATTTTGCATTTTCCCACTGGAAGCCCTCGTGTTATTTTATAGATTGTTATAAAATAGATTAATGGCCTTTCAAAAAAAAATATATATATATGAAATACATAACATTCTTGTGAGGTCAAATCTATAACCAACCCCTATTACAAAACATTTCTGTGATGTGGACAATTTATAAGCACCCTAAGCAATTATATACAAATAACAGTTTACAGAATTGCATTTCTGTGACAGCCAATGAAGCTTTCTCGTTTGGACCTGTTATGCTGAAGTTGCATTGAACAACCCAAGCACTACATGTCAATTATGTTTCATTGCTTAATTCCCCCCTTCCCCTTAAAAAACTTACCAAACCACAAAACTTCACAGCCCTTTTGTGCTCCATACACACTGACAACTCTCATATGCTGTACCTGAGTCTGATTTGGTCTCATCTTAAGACACTTTGCTGCTGCTGCAGTAGTTGCTCACGACAGTCACAGCTGCTCTTCTGCTTTATGTATGAGACAGCATCTGATGTGCAACCTGATCAGACACTGGGCACACCATTTCATGTACACAAAAAAAGGCTGCAATGCTGAGCATGAAGCCCCGTTACCAGAAGGCTTACTTCCTGAAATGCAGCCAAAAAACAGCAGAGAAAATGCATGTGTACATCTGGAGTACTTACAAATCCCACATAGCCTCATATATAGACACTCTTGAATTGCAATACCAAGAATTTTGTTCTGAATTCGTAATACAGTGGAAACTTTTAAAAATGCACAGAGTTTGAAATCTGTGTAATAACAATAACAGATAACCATTAACAGCATGAAATTCAGCAAAGGAAAATGCTGGGTTCTGTACCTGGGAGTAACATTGGTCACAAATACAGACTGGGAAATGAGTGGACAGAGGGTAGCTCTACAAAAAGGGACCTTGGGGGTGCTGGGCAAACAGCATTTGAGGGTGCATTAAGCACAGCCAGAAATGTAAAACCAGTATTTTAACAAACTGTAAAACTTAATCAATTTCCTCCCACTAGTTGTGGTTTTAAATATTTTAGACTCAGATTCACACTTTTTAGGAATGCAAGAATGACTCCAGTTAATCACTCTCAAAAGGATACAGACAGCAGAATACAGATACATTCCATTTCAGAAGATCAGAATTATTTTGACCATTAGTTTGTTAAGAAAAGACTGCTGACAGATGTAATTGCTGAAAACAAAATGAAGCTACTACCTTTCCACTACTACCAGTATACTAACTAGTTAAGCTGAGTTAACAGGACAGTTACCTACACATTGGAAAACAGTTAACAAATATTAAACCTGTCACAGAATGTAGGCTCCACACTTTCCATCAATTCTGATGTGATCATCAACTGAAGTCTGCTGCTTATGATACTATGCAGTGCAGTCACTGTAATTGCTACATAAGTCCTGGATAAAGAAACACATAACGTAAATAGTGTTTTAAGACCTAGCAATACAGAATATGGGACACAACATAAACGGTACTGAGAAAATCAAAGGAGTCAATTCAAAAGCTTAACTTTTACATGAGTTCTTCAAAAGCAACAGTATTAACAAATTTGAGTATGGACCTGTTGTCATCATCTGCGTTACAAGACCTAGAACCCCTTTCTGAAGTCAGAAAGCCACTTTTAAAAATGTGACATATGCATAAAAAAATAATACTGAGAACCTAGCACAAGTGAGATAAACTACTTCCAATCCTTTCCTTGTTATGCTATCACACATAGTCACGGTTATCAGACAGTATGTGTGCATTACTCTCTTGCTCTTCAGTCCTCAGACTCACCGCACCCTTTTTACCCTCTGTATAATCAATGAATATAAAGATGATATAATTATGAAATAAACAAGAGAGTTTGGCAAATCAGTTTATAATAACAAAAAGAGAATAGACAGAATGCTTACCATGTCCTGGGCTCACTGCAAAACTCCAGAGGAAGGATCTCCAAAAGAGATGCTTCCCCCCTGGCAGTCAGCTCTTAAATGGGTCTAGGAGAGGTGCAGCCAGGCTCCACCCCTTCCGGCAGCACAGGTGAATTGCCTTCAGCTGTGCTCCCAGGGCTGACTTGCTGCTTGTCTCAGGTGATCAGTCAGAGGTTCAGGCCATGATCCAGCAGTTCCCATATGCCCTCTTATAGCAAAGCATACAACCTCATACTCCACGAATGCCATCCTCTCAGAAAACATCATTCCATGTACATGTTCCTCTCTCTCCTACAATCTCCTTCCTATATTAAACAGTATCCCCGTGCAGGAGAAAAAAGGGACAGATGCAGCAGGGGACATGAAGAGAAACAGTCAACTCAGAAGAAGGCTTTAATCTGCTCACAAGGAGCTGAATCAGCAATGGAATTCACCCAGTAGAAAGCTGTGTCCCCTGCATCCCCTACAGCCTCTGCACCCATTGGAACTGGCTCAGCTTCCCCGACAGAGCTGCCCAAACATCATGCAGCTACCCAGGCCTGAGGCAGCAGGGCATGTCCAAGCTTTCTGTCAGGGCCTGGGATGCCTGTGGAAGGTGGCCAAAGAGAAGAACTGCTCAGCACTGGCACAGAGCATTGGGAGGTGGGCAGGCTGAGGCGGCTCCTCCCACCTTGGGTTGAGGGACTGTGCCACAGAATCATAGAATGATGAAGTAGGTTGGAAAGGACCTTGGAGATCATCTAGTCCAACCCCTTGCCATAGACAGGGACACCATCCTGGCTGACTCTGAACTCATACAAGATTTGCTGCTCCAATCAGGTGCACAAAAGACTATGGGGCCCAGTGGGGTTCATCCCAGGGTACTGAAAAAAACTTGCAGATATTATCCCGATTATTTTTCAGCGACTTTGGGAATCTGAGGAAACTGGACGCTGGCAAATATTGTTCCAATTTTCAAGAAGGGCAAGAAAGATGACCTTGGTAATTACAGGCCTGTCAGTCTCACTTTGGTGCCTGGTAAAATTATGGAGAAGATCATAATGGGAGTTGCTGAAACGCACGCGAATGACTGCAGCCATTGGTCACAGCCAACGCAAGTTCAAAAGAGGAAGGTCCTGTTTAACAAACTTAATTTCCTTTCATGACAAGGTTATCCATCCAGTAGACCAAGAAAAGCCATCTCATGTGATCTTTTTGGATTTCAGCAGAAATTTCTATACTGTCTTTCACAGCATTCTTCTGGACAAAATGTACAGCATGCAGCTAGACAAGTACATGGCATGATGAGTGAACAACAGACTAATGGGTTGAACTCAAAGGTTTAGAGTAGATGGGGTTACTGAAGGCTGGAGACCAATTACTAGTGGGGTACCTCAGAGCTCCATCTATGGGCCAGTTCAATGTTTTTTATAAATGATCTGTGTCCAAGACTCTAATGCACACTAAGTTTACAGACAGTACTAAATTAGGAGGAGCTGCTGATACCCCCAAGGGCAGAAAGGTCTTCTGAGAGATCTTGACTGACTAGTGGGTTGGGCAATCACCACTAGTCAACAGCAAGTGCTCAATTCTGCAGCTGGATTGGGATAATTCTGGATACACGTACTGTCAGGGAAATAAGAGGCTTGAGAGCAGCAGTGCACATCCGGAAGTTCTGGTTAACAGCAAATTGAGTATGAGCCAATAGTACATCATGGGGTGCTTCAGTCCCAGCACTGACAACTGGGAAAGGGAAGGGACTGTCCCACTCTGCTCTGCACTGGTGCAGCTTCAATGTCAAGCACCGAGTGCATGTTAGCACACTGTAATATAACAAAGATGTACAACTATCAAAGAGGGTCCAAAGGAGGGAAACAAAGATGGTGAAGTGTCTAGAAGACCCTATCAAGAGCAGATGAGATAATGTAGTTTGTTCAGCCTAAAGGAAGCTGACAGGAGGCCTTGTGACATCTCCTCATGATAAGAGTGGAGGGACAGTGCTAATCTACTCTCTGGTGACAGAGACAGGATCTGAGGGAACAATATACAGCTCTGTCAGGGGAGGGCCAAGTTGGATATTAGGAAAAGGTTACTCATCGGAGGGTGGTGGGCATGGAACAGACTCTTGGTAGCAGTGGTGACAGCAGCTGGAATTCAAGGAATGTTTGGACAATGCTCTCAGACGAAGGGCTTGAATCTGAGGTGGTCCTGCACAGAGCCAGGAGTTGGACCTGATAATCCTTGTGGGTCCCTTCTAACTCAGGGTATTCTATGACTAGTTCTTTCCCTTGGTTGTGTGAGATTAACCTCTTCTCAGTGATATTCTGGTTTTTCTGGCCTGAACTCAAGTAACCTGAAATAACACTAGTGAATAAGTGTAAAAAGAGAAAGAAATACTGCAAGTTTTTTATAGCTGACTTTGTGTGAGTAGGTATAACTGAACCAATATAGAAAGGAGTACTCAGTGTCAACCTATAAATAGCTCCTGCTGAGAGCCTAATAGCTCTGCCTCTGCCTTTACAGAGCACAGGCAATAAACCATCATTATTACATTTTTACAATTCAGGAACAAACACATTTAAGCAAAAAAAAGGTTTCTATTTCTACAGCAAATCCAATAAAAGAAAAATATTTATGCCATATATAAGGCTATGTTTATAGAGTATACTCATGTTGAAATAAAACAGACCTGAAATTGTAAAAATGTAATGCTTTATTCACTTTAGAATTCTACTTCCAAGAAAATGATATGATTTAAAATATTATACAGCTATTCATTAAGACAGTTTACTTACAAGTAACTTATTACTCATAACGTGGCAATAATTATACTGCTCATTACATATCTGATGCAAGTATAAGTCTAACATCAAAATCAGTTTTGCAAAAAACATGATAAAGTCACTTGAAGTTTTTCTGGAGATGAGAAGAGGGGAAAAATATATAAATTTGCTTTAAATGAAGATACAAACCCACATATTGTGATAATACACTGGTTCAGAACAAAACATTAGAAACTACATTCCACTACTGGTAGAAGAATGACTGCTTTCAGCCTTTCACAAACCATGTTTTCACATAGCTTGCACAGATCACACCATAGCCTTTGAAAGTCAACCCTGCTGTTCTTCTCATATTGTAGCCACTCCTATGGGGTCTCAATTCCAGTACAGAATTTTCACATGCCAGTACAAGGAACTAGAAACAAGTCATGGCACACAGCACTATCATCCTGCTCAGATATCAGAAGCAGCAGCAAGCTGCCAGCAGGAGACAAATGAAACATATTTCCTAAACAAATTAAGGTATGTAACAAATCACTCATGATTTAAAACTATTAATTTACAGTACTTAATGCACAACATTTCCTTACCTAAAACATTCTATAAAAAGAATTCTCTGTATTAAAGCTTACAGATAGCAAAAACAAGCCTTTTAGTACATCCAGAACTGAAGATGACTCAAGATGTAAAGTTCCAATTTTAGAACACTTAATATTTTGAAAACTCGGTTATATCCAACACAGAACGTGCACGGGAGAGGCAGAGAAGAAACCTAGCTCTGTATCTAGATGGATGCCTTAAATGACAATCTTTCAATCTTTTTGTGGCCCAGAACACAGAATCAGAAAGTGTGATCTTCTTGAGAATACGGTACACAGCATTTAACACTACTATAGCACAATAGCATAATATGGCCAAACGAAGATGAGCAAAGACCGCTGGGATGAGCACTGCGATCATTACACAGCACAGCACTTCTCAGATGGTACTGGACAAAATTCTATTGCATCAGTCGTACTCTTGAACAGTAAATATGAATACTGTATGAGATAGTTAAGCTGACGGAAAATCTCTCATTTGAAATACAAGAAGGAAATCAAACTCATGCACGAACATTATTTGCTCAAGCAGTAACTGTATCAGATTGCCTTTCCAGATTAAGAGCTGTAAACTCCAAAGAAATTTAACGGTTTTCAAGACAGAAAGAGGATTTACTACATGAAGCAGTTTTGCAACAACACTTTAAGAGCTGAATTCCAGAAAACGCTGCTTCCCAAAAGTTTACCTTTCTCTCTTTCAGTAACTGTTTGTAGCCACTGGCACCTAGAGACAGAAGTGTAATGAGGACATCTAAAGAAGGAGATGCAGAAGCTCTTCCTGAAAAAGCAAAGCAAAACAAAACAAAAGGTACACGTTAAGTTTCTGAAACAACAAAAACAAACAAAAATTATACGAAAGAAAGTTGATAATCAAATTTTCTACTCTTATTTTGTATGAATGAAATCAGTTTGTGAGCTACTTACCTGGATACATTTTGCTGATCTCCTGAATGAAGGACTCATTGAAGCCAGCAATGATAGCACCACCTACTGGAACCATAAAATTTTTGTCCAGGCTCTGAACAAAAGCATCTATTCTGCCTACTCGAGCACCCTTTATCAAAAGGAAAAAAAAATCCACAGCACGTATTAGGAAAAAAACACGGGAAAGCATAATAATTACCCATAATCCAGCAATAAAACGAATATAATTCCTAAAACTCTCTCGGATATTTTATTTGTGATGAAGAATTTTAAATCACAGCATTACCTTTGCTTAGCATTGCTTACAATTTTTTTGCTGTCTGCTAACACACCATCTTCAGCAACCTTCATTTGCTATGATTTAAAATATTGGTGTTAGTTCCTGCATGTCTTCAAAAGTCCAGCTCATTTGCAGCAACTATCAAAAAAATTCTCTTGGAATTGAATGGGAATTATACAGTTAACACTGTACAATTCAAAATGTGCCACAGATTCTGGCAGTAAAAGGCTACAGGTTAATGCCTCACCAGAAAACAAAACTACCTTTTTTGACATATACATGTAATCTGCATCAAAACAAATGGACTGTGACAGCGTTCCTTCATATAATGCTGCCTGCAAAATTAAGATCCAGGTAACTTCCTCAAAAGACTTCCTCTTCCTGGAAAACAAAATGCCCCTAACATTTAGGCAATTAGGAAAAAAAAACCACGGCGATTCTGCAGTGCAACTTCAGTTTTAGGAATACAGTATCAATGAACTGTGCAATTAAGAAGCATGCATCATAACAGAAGCTGGAAAGTCTATTAACGATCATACATACTAAAGAGTATTCAACTACATACATAAGTACTTCGTATTAAAATCAAGGAACAGAAGCAGAGCTAACATCTGTGACAAAAAGAGTGAAAAAGGCAGATAAAACTAAAAGTCATTTCTGTGTTTTACTATGACAGTGCATGGGGGACAGGTATACATTTGATTTCATTAGTAACTACTTCCACATGGACTGTACATTTTCTATCAGAGGAAATAAATTCTTGTAAATAAATGACAGCTCAAATGTATACATTCCCAGAACCAAAAAAGAGGAAACAAAACATCTACCAAGAAGCTAGGGAAAAACACAGAAACATGAACAGTTCTATTCGTGGCTTTGCAGCCTGAGAAAATCATCAGATATGACATAATATGCAGCAAAACTCAGCAATCCCACAGCCTCCTTCATGTTAGAAGTTCACTACAATTAAGCAAGTTAAATGCAGTGCCCATGTATCATCACAAATCAAACATATCCAGTGTTCTATTTCACACACCATTGCAACTTCTGTCACATTCCTTCAGTCTCTCAAGATAAATTTAGAAATGCTAACAAGATCCAGCTGCTCTTTGCTCATTTAATAGCAGTGTCTTCTTAATCAGAAAAAAAATTATCGGCATATACATAATAGTTCAGCATTCCCTGGATCCTGTTAAAATACATAGGCAACAGGGAGAACAGAGAAATATCAAAGAAACATTGCATGAATTTGCAATGAGCAAAAATGCAGGCATTGTATGCTTTGTGGCTGATCTCAGGTATTAAACAATTTGCTTTGCAAAAACAGCAAGAAGAAATTGAACCTGTTTTGAATACAACATTGAATTCAATAGTTTTTTCAGGTGTTCTCTGTGCCAACAATACTGACAAGTGACAACACTTACACAGTGCTGCTGTACCACCTTGTGCCTTCAGGATGGTGCCAATCAAACATGTGATTTGGAGAATTTAGAAATGGAAGAAAATTTGAAAATCAGTAACTCGTTCTGCTGAAGCCTTAATTCCCATTCAAGTACAACCAATTATTTCATGACAGTAGGTCATTATGTCAATAATTTTATGAAGTATTTTAAGAAAGATTAATAAGGGTATCTCTCCATTATAAAAGACAGCTGAACATAAATGAAGCCTAAACAAACTTGATTACATAAAAAGCCAACAATAGAAACAACAAACATTTGAAGTATTATTTCCTTCTGCTCTGCATTCTCAGAAAATAGTCCAATTATAGGATATGTGTGGGATTAATTTCCAAGCTGTGACACATGGTAAAACTTGCTAGCATTGTCTATGATTAGAGGTTTTCTCATGCTTGTTAAGAATATATATATATATATTTGAAATGCACAGTTCCTACCTGCTGGATAAGATGCATACATTTTGAAGATTGAACTCCATATGCATTGTTGACAATATGGGGAATGTCATAATTAGCACAAATTTTAGCCAATTCCTCCAGCCTATGAGCATAAAATTGTAATTTAGAGAAATACTAATCACTGTAATCCATGTTATCAATCAGACCATTAAAAGACTGAAAGGTCTACAAGAAGGTCAGAAAGAGGAAATAAACTTTCTTGTTTACTGCCTTGTGGCAGCAGTAATCACCTTTAGCAACAAAGGCTCAGAAGAAAGTTCTATTAACTTTTACATGTATTACAAATGGTTGAACTAGGCTGAGATTTTTCATGCTTCGCTGAAAGTTTTGTCCAGAACCCAGTACCCAGATCTCAAATCATCCTTTCAGATATTTTCCTACTTTAGTGATAATTAACAGAATTGCAGCTATTCATACATTGTCCTTTTCTTTTAGCATTCAACCTGAAAACAGTTTGATGGAAGTTTCAAGATGTGCTTGAGGAACTGAGAACTTCATAAAAGAGGAAGCCTTTACAGGTTTCTATTTTTTTTCCCCTAAGAACCAGTGCTTCAGCCCTTTGGCTGAAATCTCACTTGCATAGTTCAGCTCAACTGAGCAACAGAAAAAAAATTCTTCAAAAGGGCTGGATACCCTTAAAATGATACCCTTGAAAAGGACTGGATGTGGAGATCAAAACATTAAAACTTCGTTTAACTGTTTGCTCAGAGAAAAAAAAAAAGGAAAATTTTCATCTGCCTTTAGAAATTCCTGGAATTACAGAAAGGCCAATTTGGATTATTTCTCAGTGAAGCTAAGATTTAATTGAATGCAAAGGTCATTTCCATTGAGAGACTTCAGCTTTTTAAGCACACATGTTGTTAGTAACCTTTCCAAAGCACTCCAATCACGCTCTTATTTTTTTAATACCTTGATTTCTAACAAACTTGAGAATATCTTTTAAAAAGAAAATCCATTTCAAAAATAAATACTTAATAATTTGAAGTGATTATAAAGATTATTTTTAAAAAGCACCAGAAAAATTCAAGTCTTCAATGCATTTTTCCCCTGTCTATTTTTGTGCAGCCTCTCACTGTAATTTACTGACATCCATATAAAATGTGACAAGAGGTGACATTCTCTTGTATTCTATTTCCATTATATTGCCTTGTGTTCTTTTGTAATGCAAAACTCAGCTACAAACCTCAGATTGAATTTTCCAAACCTCAATCCCTAGGAAAACAACATCATCACAGTACTACTCCTAAAGAAATTACAGGTATGTAAAGCACAAGTTTGGCTAGGTAACACTCGTAGTGTAATGCGTGCATACATCTTCAACAGTCAAGATATTCAGCAGGAACTGCATGTCCTGTAATTTTTCTCATTTACCAACATTCTGAACCCTGAGTTAACAGGAAACATTACACCAGGCAACGTTTTTGCCCTTTGATTTGCTGGTCTTGCTCACTCAGACTCATTCCTCACCTTCCAACAAGACTCAAATAAAACAGTTTCCACTCTTACATGTTGTTTTTTTTCCAAGTGCAGGTAGAGAAATTCCCAATCTAGAAACAGAGGGTTCTCTACTACTCTGTATGGCTGATCATCTTTCTCACCTGCTGAGTCCCAGCAAAGCAATATGCTAGCTGCTATAGATCCAGAAAACAGAAAAAGCACTTTTTCTACAAATATTTCTTTGAATAATTGATCCATGCTACAATAAAGGACAGGAGTGCTACAGTTTGAAAAGAATATGTGACTCTGGATGGGAAGCAAACAATAAAGCATACTGGCTTGTATGCTTCCAAAGCTTAAATTAAACCATTAAGAGCAGCTAGTCATATCAGAAGAATAAAGCATAAAAGCAAGTTGGTTACTACTCAAGTTCCCAAAAGTCGCAAATAGCATAAATGGCGAAATATTTCTCTATGTCCTTTCTTTCTCTCCTGTCTGTGAAAGTTCATAAAAAACAACAACTTTGGTCTTTCTTCTAATACCAATGAAAGTGACAAAGTGGAGAATTCTATTAAGTCCATTAATTAACCAAAAAGTCACCTCTTGCCTTCGGTTCCCTTTTGAATACAGTGCCTCTAGAGACAGCTTGTAGCAACAGGTAGAAGACAGAAGACTGAAGTCTTTCTAATAAGCGGATTTATACAGTAGTACATTTTATCAATAAAGTCTCATAAGGCTTCGAAGGAGCTACAGGTCTTATCCTAATCATTCAACAATCCTAACTCACATAAAATTTTAAAACATCACCATCACAACTAAACAAAGCCTTAACAATGTAAATTGTTTAAAAGCAGACACATAAAAATGGTATCCTCCAGAAATGCTTTATTCTCCTTCCTGTAGGAAGATGGATGTTATTGCCTTCAGTAGTTGACAGTATCCTTTAAATAGAAAGTGCATTCAAATTCTCTTATATCTGTGGTATATCATAACACAGCGCCACTACCTAATATTTCATCTCTTAGTTGCAGAGAACAAAACAATTGCATGTCAAAAAAAAAGGAGGCAGATAAGGAAAAGATTCATTTACCAAAGCTATAAAATAGACCATTCAATTTTGATAGCTTTGATTTAAGGTAGCCAATAAATTTGGAACTCAACTTCAAACAACAGTCCGACAGAATTATTTGCTTTTAACTTCCCTCTAGCAACTAGGCTAAATCTATGATAAATACTGTTTTTCAAATATTTTAGAACTAATTTACGTGCAGAAATAATGTCTCAAATATTCTGTTTCTCATCTCCTAATTGCAGTGCTCATCTCTGCTTCAGAAAGTGCTTGAACTGACACATTTGCAGCAACTACAGAAGTTATGTATATGGACACACCATAGGAAGAAAGAATGCAGGGTAGTTTAGGTTTCTTTTAATGGTGATTTAACAGCTGGAAATTGTAAGTTGTAGGCAATCAGGCTATAAATGTAAATGTTCAAACCCAGATACATGACAGTAGAGCAAATCTTATGTTATACTCTCATAGCACTGCCCTACATGCTTTCAAGGGTTTCTCCACATCAGTACATCTTTAGTAATGCTACAGACATCACCATAATGCAGGAAAAAGCAACTCAAGCAATGATTTTAAATGTTGGCGATAGGTTATTTTTCTTAGCAGTTGTATTAGCCTAGGAAAATTCATCATTAGCTAGAAGAAAAGAGTAGAAAAGGGAGGATGAATATTAACATCTGGCATTAGCTCTGGAACTATACCTTCTGGACCACATTTCTATGAGATTCTACTCTTACTACTTCCACAAAATCCCATAAGAAACCTCTGTCAAAGTGGCATTAATTTCAGCCAAAGTGACCATTATTAACCTTCATTCATAAGGGAGAAAGAAGACCTTCTCTATCATTCTCATTTTCCTAATACATTTTTTGGAAACATTTGGAGCATTGTTTCACAACATGCCATCACCCTTAAACACAGGGACTGAAGCATCTTCACAAATGCACTTCACTTATTGGCAGTAACTGAGCATTCAAAACATGTAGGTTTTTTCACTGACAACAAATAACGTACTTCTTATGAAGTCTACTTACCTATCAGGTACCCTTGGAGCAAAGCAAGATGTTGTAGAATGCACACAAAGAATATTTTCAGCACCAAGAGTTTTGATTTTAGCCTCCACTGCTTCAATATCTGTCCGTAGCTCATCGCCTTCTAATACATTCTCTATCACCACAGGCTCAAAACCTAACAAAAACAAGATCCAAATGTACGTCAATGAATCTCCAACTAATTGCGGGCTTTTCATTTCTACCATACACCCCAAAAATGTACATTTTTTCTTTTAACAGATAATTTCAGACTTAGTTTAATAATATAGACACGTTAGCACAGAACTGCCTCTGTTTAGATGTTTTTATCCAATGAATCTTTTATATCAAAAACCAGAATCATAGTATGGCTTGGTTTGGAAGGGAACTCAAAGATCACCTAGTTCCAACAGTCCCACTGCAGGCAGGGTTGTCAGCCACTAAATCAGAGGGCAGTAGATCAGCTTGCCCAGGGCCCCATCCAACCTGGCCTTGAAATGAAATGTTTCCTAGGAACTAGGACGAGAATCTACGCCACCGCTTGCTCAGGTATGATCCTTTTTCAGTTCATGCACATATCCCCTACTTGCCATTTCCTTGATTCCATGGGTCTGTCGGCAGGAGGGGACAGCTTTGGAGAAGTGATGGACTTCTATCCTTAGTTTACTTACAGTCTGGTAGACAGGGAATTTCTTTTGAGAAGGAAATAAGGTTTGAACAAAGAAAGGCACCAAACTTATTTCCTGACTGAGCACTGACACACCAAGATTAAAAACAAATGGGGCAGCTAACACTTGCCACGTTCCAAAGTAAAACACCATGGCAGTAAGCTTGTCACCTTCTGATTCCAATTTCAAAGACACTTTTTATTTTTTGAATAAATTTTAGAAGGGATTTGAACCACAAACCAAAGATTGGCATCATTCTCAGGAAAGCAAATTAGGCATCTAACTAAAAAATGAACTCTAATTTACTTAGTATTGTGCTCTTTGCTAAGAAACCACAATACTATATACATCTCCCTACTTCAGCATACTCCCACATTCTATAAGGCAATAGGAAAATACATCTGATTTCATGTTAGAAATCAGATGTGTAGAAATAAAGCACTTACAACTACTATACATTAGACCTTTTCTGGATATGATTCCAAGCATATAAATTCACTCTGAAAGATAAAGTTTTGTATCTGTTAGAAAAGCACACCATGCAACCAGTCATCCCCCTGTTACCTGCAGTTATCATCGATTTAAAGCAAGATTTCTGGTCTATACGTGGCCAAATAATGTATTTTGCCTTTGGTCTCTTGTGCCGCAATGTTAAAAAACACAGAGTTAGACTCATGCCAGTTGCCATAGGAACCACAAAGCAATTGGTCACCGTCCGGACACCTGCACATGAAAAAGTAAGTCAGAAATTAACATGAAGAACACATGACATTTTGCCAAAAAAGAGAGATTTTCAGATGTACACCTACCAGCCTGCTTTATAATATCCAGAACAACTGAATTAGTAAGCTTGTTCAAAAGGCTAGACCCTGCAGCTTTAGGCTGGACTGCAGAAATATCTCCTGATCTTCCAATTCCATGGATCAACCTGAACAAAAAAGGTTGAAAACACACATCAAGATTTGTCATGCTGCAAAGCAATAATTCTTGCTACTGGAAAGAATTTAATTTGATAAACAACTGTAGAAGATTTTGTATCCAATGCACTCTCATGAATTCCATTGCAACCATCTACGTATATTAAGATGAAATTTTTTTGTTTTGTTTTGAGCAATAGACAAACAATATTCCATAAAGCAAATAAAAAACTTCAAGAAAAAGATCCAATACAGCAACAGTGTGAGCACCTGCCAGGCTTACTTTTAAGTGCACCCCAGCAACGTCTCAATGCCTACTCAATTAGCAGTACAAATGCAGGTATGTCCAGACACAGAAACCCAAAGAACAAAAGTCAGTTGCCTACATCGGAGCACAGTGTAGAACACTGCTTCAGAACCACCTCCTGCTACCTTTCCCACTCCCAGAGCTACTAGGCAAAACATTTCAGCAATCAGTGCATGGATGAAAGCCTCTAAACTTTTCCTTGTTCTTGCTGACTCTCAGGTGAAGATGAGATGTCAGGTGACAGAGCTACCTGAGATCAACAGCAGCTAAATGACAGCCCAGGCTCACTCTGGCCAGAAGCTGGGCATGCCCTCTCCAGCAACACCAGCAATTACTTGGGCACTCTCCCCAGCACAACTCTGCCTTCCACACCTCACAAATCTGAGACTAGAGAGCAGAACAGAAAACAGGAAGTCCAAACTGATGTGTTAGTGGTTTTCTTCATTAATTTTTCATGGTACTTGGGGCTTCTGAAAGACATTAAGCCTAAGTAGTTCAGTTTTCATATGGTAAAGCTCACTAAAATTCTTGTCTCTAACAAGCTTTCGTGCTACTATTTGAAGGAGAAATACACCAAGAAATTTCACTCAGTTTCATTCACGATGGATGAAACTGCAAAGCCACTCAGCACAGAACACTGTGCAAAAAGCTTATCTTCATACTGACATTAATGCAGAGCCTCTAGTTATAGCTTCCAAAGTACCTGCTATAGCCTTTCCAAAGCAAGGGCTTTGAGCCATTAATAGCTCCTTTTGTCTTCATAATTCAGCTCACTTCATATAAAATAAATTTTATATAGACTGAGTTTTTACATGCCTATCAACTTTTCACATTATAAACATAGTAACGAATATAAAAAAAAAAACAAATAGCCGTTCACTGGGGATGTTCAGTACTTTACATCTACAATTCAGTAGTTTTGATTGATGCACTGATTAAAAAAAACTGTACAGTATTAAAAAAGCAAGTAACGCATGGATTATCTTAAAACACAAAGACTTCTCCTTGCTTGCAGTCAATTTGGCATCTTAGGCTTGTACTAGTTTTACAGGACATACAGCCACCAAATATTTTTGTTACATTCAAGACTGCCCAATGAGTTATTAATGAAAACTTAATACAGAAAATTAGATCGCTTCAATATTGCATCATTCTTTTTTTCTTCAAATGCTACCCAGGTCTCAGATAACTAATTCACAGTTAGCATAAGCACTTCAAAATCATCAGTAATAAAACCGAATAATACAAATAGCCAACAAAACTTGTACCTATAGTGCCTTCGGGCAACAAGTCCTGACGCCACTCTGCCTTCCCTCTCTCCCACACCGCAGTTGCCCAGAAAATTATTGCTGTCCATTATGGCAAGTTCATGAAGGAAGAGTTCAATGGTGCTTTCATCCCATCCATCTTCAGGGCACTTTCCCTTCATATTCGGAATACAGAAAGATAATTCATAAACTTGCAAATTAAGAACAAACACAACTTGTTCAACTGATGCAGCTCTTAGATGCTGAAACCAGAAGTTAAATAATGACTTTGCCATACATTCAATGCAATTACGCTGGCGTACCATGATATTGAGTACTTCTCACTCTCAAGAGCTCTGTAAGGCATACACCAAGCCACTGCAGCACATAGGTGTTGTTCACAAGATGTAACGCTGTGGATTATGTGATGTATTCTCAACACCGAAGTGTAATACTACAGAAACTCGGCGGGTAAAACCAGGTGCAGAGAACTGGGATATTACAGAATCCAAAATATTATGAATAGCAACAGTTGCAACACATCTTCACACCTGCGTGTTTTCCTTTGCAGTTATTACCCGGTATGTCAGGAAGCTGCAGACAGATTTGTCAGCAACTGCAACAGATGCACTCCTTCCTGCGCTCTGCTCTAAGAACCACGCTCGCCTCTGCCTACCGCAAAGCGGATCCCCAGCGGAAAGCCGCCCAAAGCGCGCACAGCACCGCTATTGCAACTCAGCGGGGCAGAGGTCGCTTAACTCGTGACGACAAAAGGAACCCAACCGCAGCGGGGTACAAAGGGCCGCAGCGAGCAGAGCGGTGGGCGGCGGAAATCCCCGCAGGGCGGCGGGCCGCCTCGGGCCGCGGGGACGGAGGAGCCACCGCCCCGCTCTGCGAGCCGCCCCCCGCGGGGCCCGTTACCTGCTCCAGCAGCGCCCGCAGGAGCAGCTCGTGCCCGCGGCGGCCCTGCGCCCCCTGGCGCACGTAGGCGGCGGTCACCAGCCGCTCGCTGGAAGCGAAGTTCTCCGCGTTCATGGCCGAGGGGCGGCGAGCGCGCCGCGGGCCGCTTCCGCAGCGCGGGGCCGTGCGGGCGGCTCAACCGTCCGCTTCCCGCCGCGGCCGTGCGGGGCAGGTGCTGCGCGTGCGCCGCGCGGAGTCCCGCCTGCACGCCCTCGTGGAGGCTGCGCGCGGCCTCTGCCCGCCGCCGCTCAGCCCGGGCTGGGGGAGGGGGGCGGGAGGGCTGCGGTGGGCGGCCGCGTGGCGGTGGTACCGAGCCTGCCTGTAGCTCTACTACAGGGACGGCGAGCTGAGCGTGAGCAGACGCGTGCAGCACGAGGTGCCTCTGTTCCGCTGCTCTGTCCTAACCGGCCCACGCCTGGTCGGATTTGGTTCTGAGATCTTGTCCGATCTTTCTCTGGCGCGGTTTCAAGGCTGAATAATGCGCGAACAGCCACGGTGGCCGACTCGTTCCGTAGGTGTCGCTGGCCTGATGGGATCTGAGGGGTGATTTGGCGGAGCAGTCCTGCACACCGGCTAGATCTGTTGGCAGACGGACTGCAGTTAACCCAGTTTTTCACCGTTTTGAACTAAAGGAGCTTTGCAAATCGCTGCGTCCAGGCGTTCTGTCGCTGCCGCTGGGAAAGGCAGAACCACTCAGCTCGTTACTTCGGCGCATCACGAGAGGGCGCTCAGGGAGAGCTGAAAGCGCGCCCTGCTGCGCGGGTTCGATTCTCTGCTGCGCGTCCCGTGTTTGGGGGGAGTGCGAGCGTGGATGCGAGCGGAGCGGGCACGGTGCGGGCGAGAATGAGAGACGAAGGTGGGAAATGGATCAAGAGGTTGAAAGGTTGAGGGAACTGGGCTTGTTTACTTGGAGAAAGCTCCGGGGAGACCTCACTATGGCCTTCCAAATACTTGAAGAGAGTATAAACAGGAGGAGGAATGGCTGTTTACAAGGGTGGAAGTGATAGGACAAGGGGGAATGGTTTTAAATTGAGGCAGAGGAGGTTTAGGGTGGGTATCAGGAGGAAGTTTTTCACACAGAGGGTGGTGATGCACAGGTTGCCCAAGGCTGTGGATGCCCCATCCCTGGAGGCTTTCAAGGCCAGGCTGGATGTGGCTCTGGGCAGCCTGGTCTGGTGATTGGTGATGCTGCACATAGCAGGGGGTTGGAACTGGATGATCATTGTGGTCCTCTTCACCCCAGGCCATTCTGTGAGGGTTCAATAAGTGAGTCTGTAATCAGACTTACTTGCATACTTCAGTAACTTCAGACCAGGTAGCTAACGGAGAGTATTAGCTACTTGGAATTAAAATTAATCATTTGTAGTAACTGTTCTGCGATGTGCATTTTGTTTAATTACAGGCTGAACTGCTTAAAGACTGAAGCAGTGTGAAGGCTTCTCGTTATCAAACCAGCAGCAAGCTACAGAGTTCTTACTGCAGAATACCAAAAGTAAGAACTGATGGTGATCACACACACCACAGCTCATGTGAATTGTTCCCTGTGACAGAACAAATAGCTCATGGGTTTCTTGTTTTACTTTTTCAGAAGAATTAATGTTCATATCCTTGAAAAGCCCAGGGACAAACCGCATAGCAGTGTTTTCAGCTCACTCCCAACTAGTGCAGCTAAAGGGAAAGGCACTCAGTGATCTGCTGGGCAAAACGTGAGCCTTCTCCCCTTGAATTCTGACCCGTGTGCTTGCTTCAGACAGCAGCTAATCGGTGTCATTGTCTGCACTGAAAATTACATCCTCTGTTATAGCTCTTCTGTACCTGTTGGCTAGGCATAAAAGCCTAGCCAACATTGGGATCACAATTGTTTGTTCACTTTTTATTAAAAGAAATGGAAACAGAAAAGCACTGTGAGTGGATTTTATCAGATGTGGCAGATATCAATAGTTACACAAGTAAATGGCATTGCATTCCAAAGTCCACTGCTGAGAGGTAACCTGAGACAAAGCAAACATACTGCTGCAAGGTTTTATTTTGTTAGAAACCAAGCAAAGTCATTTTCTTTCCATGATGCAGGCGACGTACACAACGAATTGTTGTGGTGCAAATAATTATGAGAATAATGAATAATAAAGACATGCAATTACTGTGTGAGCTGAGAACTGACCCTCTCCCAGCACAATCCAGAACTTCAGTTCTGTGCACGTGCTCCATGTCTTTCTCCTGTTTTTCACCAACACCTCTGAGCTCTGTGCCAGCAAAACCTGTCCCCAGAGAGAGAAATGTGGGAGGATGCATCCTAGTCACGGTGTGATGCGCTGTGTTGGGGTTTGGTTGTTTCCCTTATTTCTGTTAACACAAGGATGGCTGTGAGAACATGGAAGCAGTTGGAGTAGATTCGTACTGTTTTTGTTTGCTGTTTTTCTGCTTGCTTGCTTTTGGAAATGACAGTGCACTGAGTAGAACATTTCATAAAGTGCAAGGTAGGAGGGAACCCGGAACGTGGCTAAGAGACAAACCAGCCTCAGACTTAGAAACTCATGGCTTTACGGGGATGTTTTGTTGAGTCCCAGCAACGAGAATACTTCAAGGGTAGACGTCTGGCCGCCCGGAGGAGCAGGGAGTAGTCACGCTGCACGCACGCTGCCCTCCACGGCGCGCGTGCGTCCGGACAACGCAGGGCGGGAGCCGCGCTGCGCGGACGGACGGGACGGCACCGCGGCACTGGGAACGCGGCTCCTTTAAGGCAGGTAGCAGCGCAGGGCGGGCCGCCGGCGCATGCGCTGAGTCGTGACGGGCCCGCCGCCGTAGCGCCGGCACTGAGAGCGCCATGGGCTGCTGTGGGGGCGCCTGACTCCGCGTTCGCCCGGCGGCGCCTCCTCGCCCCGCGCTCGGCTCCTGGCCGCTGCCGCCTATGGAGTCGGGTTCCGAGGAGCCCGACGAGCAGCTGCTGCTCCTGTCGGAGCCGGCGCTTCGGGCGGGGCCGTCCGCGGGGAGAGCCGCCCCCGGCGGGGCCGTGAGGCTGTGCGGGGAGCCGGGGCTGGAGGAGGAAGAGGAGGGTGAGGAGGACTCGGGGCCCGAGGGGGATGGAGAGGAAGAGCCTCTCCTGCGGGCGTCGGGCCGCGGGCGCCGAGCGGGCGCCGCCCGGGATAAGGAGCCCCGCGTCGGCGCAGGTACGGCCGCGGCCACAGGGCTGGCGCGGGGGGAGCGGCGTGGGGCGCCCGGCGTGTGCCCAGAGGGGTGGATGGATGGACGGACGGACGGACGGGCCCGGCCTAGCCCAGCCCAGCCCCGCGCGGTGGGTGGGCCGTACCTGCCGGGCCGAGGTGCTCGCGGCTCGCAATGCCCGCTGCTTCCGCCGGCCGCCCGTCCCGCGGGGAGAGCCAGCAGACGGTGCCGGGCGGCGCGGGACGTGCGGGGCTGCCGAGCTCGTGCACGTCTCCGTGAGCCTGCCCGCTGCTGCTGAGTCTTGTCTTTGCCGTTCGGTTCTGCTGCGACTTCCGTTGGGTTTGTCGCTTTACACAGTAAAAGTTCTGACTGCACGACTGCGGGCTGCCGCTGCTTCTTCAGGCTTTGGTGCTTTCTTTCGTACGACTCTGAAAGCAGTGTAGGGTTTGCCGATAGAAATCCACGGATTTGTGTCACCGATCAGCGTGTGCTGTGGTAATTATATTTTTTGTCCATGATGGGCTTTAAAATTGCCTCTTAGGAAAGCTTTTTTTTTTTTCTTCAAACTTGAAAAAAGTTCCTTTTGCAGGAATAGTTGATTTTTACAAACAAATCAAAAACGCACCAATTTGAACAAAACAGGCTATATGAGTAACTCTTCTTAAGTAACCATAGGGAGTTTAACTGTAAGAAACAAATGCAATCTTGTTTTTTAACCAGTAAAAGTGTGTGATGTGAAGGTGTCGATAGGATGTTAGGTTCTTCTGCTTTATTTCCATGGAGATTGAATGTATTGAGATGGTGCTTTTAGCAAAGTATCACCCTTAATGTTTCTGAGGAGAGACTGGAGCTCTGAGTCTCATCCTGCAGGGCAGTAAGAGATGAGTGCAGAGATCTCTTTGACATCTCCTCTGAGATTATGTAAGAAAACTTCAGAATTCCTCAACGCTCCCCCTACTAATACTAGCATTAAAATAGAGAAAGTCTTAGGTGAAAGGAGTTAGAGTGCTACGCTTGCACACAAAATACACTGGTTTAGCCGATGTGATTGTTAACTTGATGGAAGAACAAGTAGAGGTGTGTGCTTGGATGACAGTGCTCATGTCCTTGGTGGGACAGTCTTGTTGTTTAAGGTTGTAAAGCTGCTGTACTTGGACCTTGTGCAACTTCATTTGGAAAATGCTGACTGTGAGCCCTGATCTCCTGAATGGGAACTTCTGAGAAGAATAGTTCTTGGAGCAGCTGCAAGAAAAACCTTCAACAGTTGTAATTGTGCATCCAGGGATGGTGCTGAAAATAAGCTGTGTTATGTTTTCATAGAAGAAACCAACTTGGAAAACCCTGCTGTGTTCAACAGATGCTAGTTACAAGTGGCTTTTTTTTTCGTGTGGAAGCTGTTGAGAAACTGAAAGGAAACTTCTTACAGCTGCTTCTGTCCTTGTTTGCATCCTGTGTGTTCTCATATACCCACATCACTGCAGTAATAGAAGGCTTTCTAGTAGCTCAGTAGCAACAATGATAAAACCCTACGTTTAAAAAGACAAAAATTATCTTGAGCATACAGCATAATGTATTTCTTAAATATAACTGCAAGACAAATGTACTCAATTACATTCATGTTAGGGAGATGTGATAGAAGATTATATTCCTAAAGGCAGTAAGGATTCTAATGGATTTTGGACCTGGAATGAATGCACAGAAGTTAAAAGCTGACCTCTGAGAAAGCCAGAGCTCTCCAGTTCGAGAACTTACACCAAGAAATAATGTAAAGTTTTGAAGAGCAATAGAAGTATTAATTCCTGCCAGCTGTTTAGCTGCTTGTTTTTCATTATTGTTTATTGTCTACATAGAACTGGTTCCCTGGTCAGTGTGCAGAGAAGTTCTTCAGGAGGTTTACAGTGTTTTAGTGTTGAGTGCTGAAGGCATGCCATACTTGGTTGGGATGTTGATGCTACTTCTCAGCTCTACGTGTAAGACTGAGCGGGTAATGAATGTGCTAGCCAAGCTGTTAGCAGAATAATGTGGTACCATTCTAATACTCAGTGGGTGATGGACAGTTTGCTTTCAGTTACCTTTCTCTACTAAAAAGAGCAAAAGCCTTAAGAGAAGGGTATATGTGGATGTTCAATATACATGTGCATTTTTTTTAGTTCTTTTTTTTTCTCCTTTAGGCTTTGTGACGTAAATATTAAAATAATCCTTGTAAGATATAAACATTTTGCAGTGCTAGTCCCAAAGTAGTTGTAGGTTTGGATGTTCTACTTTAAATACATTTTATTAGATGTGGGTGTAGCAGTGTGCAAAGTTGCACTGATTCGACAGAGCAGATTCTCCTGCTTGCTGGTAAGTAGGCATTGGCAGGGAGAACTATTCATGTTTCTATGTATTTACTTATGCTTTTATTCATTCTCACTACAAATTGTGCTTGTTTGCTTATTTTCTTATTTTCCAGGACATACGGGACACACTATTGATATGAATACATTTTTAGATGATCCAGAATTTGCAGAAATTGTTCTGAGAGCAGAACAAGCTATAGAGTGTGGAGTTTTGCCGGAAAGGATCTCTCAAGGATCCAGTGGGAGTTACTTTGTGAAGGACAGCAAGGGGGTGAGCAAAATGTTTCAAATGCAGAATCTCTAACAATAGCTGGTTTAAAATGAGAATTTCTAATTCTGTTTAAAAACCTTTTAAGCATGTCAAAATCTAAGCAACCCAAGTAAGTATTTAGATTTCTGATGTCTTGCGGCATAAGTGAAGTCCAACTAACTGTTTCTCTATTGCAGTGTTAGCATGTTTTGGATATTCTGCATCAGATAAATACGGAGGAAATAAAAGGGTCTGTTTGAGAACAGCTCAGGGAACCTTTTTGCAGAATCTACCATTTTGTTTTTTGTACGTTTTAACTGATTTCCTTGAAAGAACTCAGCTTTTGGTTTAGTACTGTTTAGTGTTCTTTGGCGAGCAGTTTTACTTATTTATTTTTTCTTTGTTTATTGTGTTTCATCTACGATGGTTTGGTCTACATGCTCCTATGGACAGGCAAGGAGAGTGAAACAACCAGCCAACCTTTTTGCTTCAGTCAGCTACGGAATCTTAGCATGGTAGTTTTTAGTTTGTCTTACTTTTAAAAGTGCCATTTACCACTAACAGAAGAGAAGGGCAACTATAGTAGTCACCTACTATATCATCAGAGTTGTCTTAAGTCTATTGTGAGAGAGAGAACTTAGTTACAACTTGCTTGAAAAGTATCACTTTTGTGCATTCTTATTAAAGGAGACTTTCGGCATAGTTCCTCATTGTTTTCTTTAAATCAGAAATACTTTGCCTATGGGCCTGTTCCAAAAAGCAGACTCCGGAGCATTTTTAGTGAGTATCAAGAAGATAATTCTCTGTACCTTTTGATTTCTTATATGCAATTTTATTTTAAGCTCAGTCAGCAGTCTTTAATTTTAGGTAGATGCAGGTGTTTGTTAGTTCTGAAGATGCCGTTTGAGTTGGACTTGGAAACTGTAACACCTAAGTCCTAGGTTTTCACAACATCTGAGATTTCTGAGGATGCAGGAAAAAGCAAAGATGTTTCTTCCTTGTTTGAGATTTAATTTTCTTTTTATTTAACCTCTGTTTGTATTACTGGTTGTTATGGAGTATATTCCCATCTTGCTGCTTTTCATAGATATCCAGTTAGTTTTAATGGCAATTTTCTGGTGATAGTGTTTATGCTTTTGAATGAGTGATTTTTTTCACAATAATTGCCTGCCTTGAATTATGTTGTGGTCTCATTCTGAACTTATTTTGAAGACGTAAGGTGGCAGAATTACCCATACAAAATCTTTTCAGGACTGTATATATGGTTCATGCTCCTGCATTCCAGGAACATTTGCTAGTAGTGAGCTCCTTCATTCTGTTGGGGGAGAACCAAAGTAGATGGGGAAGAAAGGGAGGGAGATGTCTTTTTGAAACTGGAAGAAAAATTTTTTCTTTCTCCAATCAGTTTGTGGGATTCTTGCTCATACATATAATACTATTTACAGAGAGACTCGTTTCAAGCTTCATCAGTAATTTTTTACTTTCAAGTCACTTCCCTACTTCAGTAGTTTTGTTCTGTGCAGGCTTTCAGCTTGTATACTTACATATACGTATTCAAACTGAATGCAACTTCTAAAGAGATTCTGAAGAAGTAAGGATCATTTCTTTCCTTTTGTGGAACTGGAAAAATTCAGAGCAGCTTTGTGGCTTGCTTTCTTCTCCCTGTGTTGGGGAAGACCTTATTAACTGATATACTTAGCATTCTAACTGGTCAGCTTCTGGAATATTTACTCACGCTAATACCAACTTCTAGCTAAAATGACTTGTTGCTGTTAGGTTGTTCTAATCATTGATTTGATTCTCCCAGAAATACAAACCTGTCACCTTTCCGCGTTTTACTGGTGTAGCTGTTTACTGATACAAAGCAGTTCAGTGCTTCAGCGTTCTTGATGAAGTGACGAATACTTGTTCATTTACCTGCACACTGTGTAACCAAGGGAGAGTCTATCTGCTTCAATGCAGTCTTCTGCAAGGTGTTTTTGCTACTGGCTAATTGTCATGTCATTGCAGCCAGTGTAGAAATTAATTCTGACTGGCTTTCTTGGTTGTCTACATAGCGAGCCATCTGGTTCTACTCGACATCAGTGGCTCTGCAAAGTTTATCGAGGTTTGAACTTCAGGAAAAACTTGAAAACTGTATCTTGACTTGATACTATAGCACAGAAGGGTTCAGGCAAGCAATGGAATGAGCTAAGCTCCTTTTAAAAATGTTCGGTTTGTGGGAAGTACTACCTAAAATGTGACTCAGAAAGGATAATTAATGACTTGACTTGGCATATAAGTGTAATACATCGTTACATTTCTGGGAAATGAAAGCTCGTAACTGTGTTTTGAGGAGGTACACACATGTGATTCAACAGGAGTAAAATAACTTATTAAGAATGCTAGTATTGTGATGTTGGCTGAAGTAGCATGCCAAGCAAATTCCGTTTCCAAAGGGTTTTTTTTTTTTTTTGTTGCTTTAGGAGGCCAATTCCTAATGTGTTCTGTGTGGAGGACATAGTTGTGAATTCCAGACTTGCATGTTACAGAGAATGCTTGTTGTAGGAATAAGGACCTCTTGTGTAGGTCTAAATAGAATCGTAAACACAATGCACAGTTGCAGAGAACTTGCACACCATTAGAACTGGAGATAACAGCGTGCTGAAAACATGAGAAGAATTTTTGCCTCTTCACATCCTATTCCTGTTGATAGTAAACTTGTAGAATGAATGCAAATAGTAATGTTTCAACTTATTTCTTCTGGTAGTTGGTGGGAGTGAATCAAAATGGATAGGTAAGAGAAACCTACTGTGTTGTGTATTGTATTGCCAAGTGTAACAGAGTAAGTTCACTGTAGTTAGTCTTATCAAAAACAAGAGTGAAAGCAGCTAAAAATTCTATTGAACCTAGATCAACTAGTTAGTTCATCTCCATAGTCCAGCTGAATTAGGTTCCTGGGATGCTGGTAACTAACTAGCAGCAAACTGTGTTCTTAGTTTGACGTGCAAATCAGCTATAAGAATTGAGTGCAACTGCAAGCAATTCTTGGCTTATTGAGGGATTACTTTTTTTTTTTTTTTTTTTTTGGTAAGAATTCAGAGAACTAGTATGAGAAAGTATTTTTAAACAGTTGTATTCATTACATGTTACATAAGAGTTTGATTTACTTAGTGTGGTCATCAGAAAAGGAATAAAAATACTGCATGTCTACAGTATTTTACTTGAGCTATACAAAAGTCACTGCAGGGACCTTGTACATTAGGCTAAATTTTATCACAGACAGTGGGAAAGGTATATAATTCAGTGTAACGAAAACTGTGCAGTTTGAGGTTAACAAATAATAGAATCCTGTTGTAGGAGGCGCCTTAAGAAATTATCTCTTTAATCCCTATGTTGCAGAGCAGGATTGTCTTAAAGGATTTGTCATGCTCCTGTGATTAACCTGTTCTTAGCAGCATCCTGTTTTGGAAACTGCACAGCCCAGAAATTTGTTCTGGTCTTAAGCCTACTCTTAAGGTTTAAGAGTTTTTCTTGCTTCTTACCTGCTGGGATTTAAGCCTATCGTTTCTTGGTTGGTTAACACTAAATCTGTTGTTCCTTGTTTCTTTATAGCAACTTATTCAGTTGATTTTTGCACCGTATTTTTTCTTCTTTAGGCTGAACAATCCATGGTCATACCATCTGGGATCTGTGAATTATGGAGAAATATTTACTGTCTTGCATATTCTCATTTTTTTCCAATTTTCTCTAGTTATTGCACAGATTTCTTGAAGCATAATGTCCAAAAATGGAATAGTACTCCTAGTAATTTTAAGCTTTGGTACAATTATTTGTGTCAGGTAATATAAACTGCTGCTGTCAGCTTCGTGTCCAGGAATCTACAGTGATAGTGGTGCCATCCATTGGAACTGCCAAGTGCTAGTTTTCATGTTTTCTAACTGAAAGTAATAAAATAGATACAAAAGGGAGGTGATTGTCCCTCTCGGCTCTTGTGAGGCCCCATCTGGAGTACTGTGTCCAGGTGTGGAGCCCTCAGTACAAGAAAGACATTGAGATTTTGGAAAGGGTCCAGAGGAGGGCGACTAAGATGATCAGGGGGCTGGAGCACCTCCCCTATGAGGACAGGCTGAGGGAGTTGGGCTTGTTCAGCCTGGAGAAGAGAAGGCTGCGGGGTGACCTCATTGCAGCCTATCAATACCTGAAGGGAACCTACACCCACGAGGGGAGTAAACTCTTCAAAAGGGCTGACAACAGCAGGACTAGGGGAAATGGATCGAAGTTGAGGGAGGGAAGATTTAGGTTGGATGTTAGGGGGAAGTTCTTTACAAGGAGAGTGGTTAGGCCCTGGAACGGGCTGCCCAGGGAGGTTGTGGATGCCCCGTCCTTGGACGTGTTCAAGGCCAGGTTGGACGGGGTCCTGGGCAACCTGATCTGAATGTGTGTGTTTGGTGGCCCTGCTAGGCAGGGGGTTGGAACTACATGATCCTTGAGGTCCCTTCCAACCTGGGTGATTCTGTGATTCTGTGAAAAGATAAAATGTAACACTTGATTATCAGCATTCTGTATATTTTTTGCTTTCCTAGAACCATTGTCTGTCTGGAATGTCTAATCAGTAAGTCAACTGGTTGTTGACTACTTGTACAAAACTACTTGTATTCTAAAATAGTTGTCTTTAATTTTGTAGAAGTAGCAAGTGTTGGCTGGTTTTGGTGTTTTTGTTATGAAAAGAGGTCATTTTGAATTTGTGCTACTTCTAGAACAGCATTATATAATGCATCTATTTCAAATACTATTTTGTTAGGTCTAGATTTATTTTATAGAAAGGGGAATTGTGTAATGCATTAGGATTTAAAATTATTTTGAATGTTAGTTATTGAAATTTAGTTTAATTGTATATTATTTATCCTAGAAAACGATTGGAGTGTTCAAACCAAAATCTGAAGAGCCTTATGGACATCTAAATCCTAAATGGACCAAATATTTTCACAAGATATGTTGTCCTTGCTGCTTTGGCAGAGGCTGCCTTGTTCCAAACCAGGGCTATCTCTCTGAAGCTGGTGCCTATCTTGTAGATGACAAGCTGGGGCTGGGAGTTGTACCCAAAACTAAGGTAAAAGTTAAAAATTCATGAATTATCAAATGCAGAAAGTACACAGTTACTTGTATGTCAGGATCTGGGCTGCAGTTGTGATGGGTTAGCTCTAGATCATCTGCAAACTATATCAAGTCCTATTGCCCAGTGCTGTAGTGTAGAAACAGTGACTCTGTGGTTCTTTGTTTTAAAGGATGAGTTTGAGAGCTGAATTAAATCTTCAGTGTGTTCTTCATTTAAAATAAATAACCAGTGTTCAGTATTTTCTGCTGTTTGTCTGCATCTAATTTAGCAAGAAGCATAAAATTGTAAATTCTGATATATTCTATATAGCAGCGCATAAAGATTCTAGTTTGCAAGTATTTCATCACATTTCTCTTTAAGATTTCTCTTTAAGATATGTGAGATAGCAAATATTCATGCTTTCTTGGTTTTTATTTATTTATTTATTTGTTTATTTATTTTCCCTACTGGAGTTGCCTGATGCTTCATTTTTGCTTTCTTGGCAACAGCATAAAACTTACCGTAAATAGATAAATAAAATGATGCATAATGGAGTTGTGCTTTTAACATTTTTAATGATGACATTTTCTTACTTGAAGGTTGTCTGGCTTGTCAGTGAGACCTTTAATTACAGTGCAATAGATCGTGCAAAGTCGAGAGGAAAAAAATATGCTTTAGAGAAAGTGCCAAAAGTTGCTAAAAAATTTAATCGCATTGGACTACCTCCTAAGGTAAGATTGAAGAGAAGATCAATGCGTTTCCTTTCTCTGGCACAAAAACCTTGATAATAAAAATGCTATAGATGACTAGCAGAAGAAACACCTTGTTGTTTATTTACAAGCAATCTCTGAATGATGGAAGGTTGATTAAATATAATTGTTCTTAAGCAAAACCTGACTGTTCTGTTCTTTCTTTCTCTTCAACTACGCTCACAATCTAGCCACTGCTTCAGTTTGTAGCTTAGCTTTCTCCTTGAAGAAAATCACATAAAAATGGTGTACTTTGTTTTTCTCCTTGTCTTAACTAGTTGTATTCCCTTCGTTGCTTGCTGGTTTTGTGTTTTTTTTTTTTTTTTTTTTTTTGTTTGTTTGTTTGTTTGTTTCATGATTGCTTCTCCCTTGCTGTTTTTCTAGTTCTTTCAGATTTTCTGAATCTTTCTCCCTTCTATTTTTTTTCCTTTTTTAGGGATCTTACTGTCATGCTCATCCTACCTTCTTGTGTGCAGTGTTCCTCTGACTACAGCCTCACATCTTTCTTGTTGTAACTGCAGAATCTCACCAGTTCTACTCTTACACTTTTAAAACACAACTTTAGTGATCTACTTCTCAATTCCAGCAATTTAGTTTGATACAACATACGTTATGCAAGCTTGTATCACATATTGCACGTTTATTATGTACACTTAAAAGTTCATCTGTATCTCAACATGTGTGCATCTATATGCATTTTAATTCTCAAATATGATCTCTCTTTTGAATTTTAATCTTGAGTAACTTTTCTGTTGTCCACACATACGGAGCCTATTTCATCTGTGCTTTCCTTCCTTGGAGTCTTTTGGGAAATGTATTGCAGTCATTTTCTTGCAAAATGTTTTGAAAAAATGACCAGAGCTGCTGGTCTCATCAGTGAAACATACAAGCTGTTCAGAGGGGAAGACTTTTTTTCCTGCTGTAATTTTTGGTGAGATTTTCTATGAAGTGATAAACGAAGTATTTTCAATGAAAATAGATGCTACTTCTTCATATCAGATATTGCTCGTAACACTGAAGCTTTGTTTGTGCCAGTCTGTCTGCCTACTTTTAGTTCCTGGTAAATTCAATGAGTGCTTCAACACACTGAAAATCAGACCAAAACCAAAAAAATCCAAATCACATTTGAGACTTCTTAGAATTTTCTCTGAATTTAGAGAAACCACTGGGGAAGAGAAACTACTTAGTCTTGTTTTTATATTTTCTGGTTTTTGCTGGGTGTTTCACTGTATTGCTTTCAGTGTTCTGACCTTTGAAAGGATGTTAGCTAAAGACGTGTGGATGTATTTGTTATATGGTTTCTTAATGTTTCAGGTTGGCTCCTTCCAGCTGTTTGTTGAAGGATATAAGGAAGCTGACTACTGGCTCAGGAAGTTTGAAACTGATCCTTTACCTGAGAACACAAGGAAGGAATTTCAGTCACAGTTTGAAAGATTGGTTATCTTAGATTATGTCATCAGAAATACAGGTACCTCATAGCATCCTGAAATATCAGTGAACTTGAGGGGAAACTTATAAATAACTCTGACTGAAAGTTGCTAGTGAAAACTTTAATGCATTTCAAGTGTTTTACTCACAAATGAAGGCCAGAATGTTGCGTTTTAAAGAATGTGTATCTCTAGATTCAAACACTAAATATTAGAGAATTACAAAATCCAAGCAATTTTTATTGGCAGTTACTTGATATTTTTAAATGACTTGAGAATTTAAAATAAAATACTTCTGCCTTAGCTGTGTTAATAGGTGGTTAGTTGTCTCTTTTGCAAAGTTAGAAGAAAGGAGGGTGAGGTTACAGGAAGCATAAAAGCAAATACAGCTACCATTCCTTTTATGCTGAGCTGGAGACCAATAACAGCACAGTTTCACATTGGTGCAAAATACTTTGTATTGATGGTGGCCAGACACTGAACAGTAATCTGTGAAATGTCTGTTCTCCTGTGTTCCTCTTTCTTTCACTCGGAGATTGAGATTTTTGTTTGACTTTTTGTAGGTGATTTGTTTTAGAATTTTGTAGAATGCAAAGGCAGTTTTATCTAAATGGTTCCTTTGCTGCTTCATCTGAAGTGGGCATCTTTACTACGTTCTATAGGAATGCCAGTGCCTGAAGATACTTCTTGCTTGATTATTTTTTTTTTTTTTTTCCTGTATATTCAGTCAGTAAAGCAGTAGTATATATGGCTTAAATATGTTTAGTAAAATTTAGTGTTTCCAATAAATCAGTTATCTTAAAGGTTTCACAAAAGGTGTTTTGGAGGGGAAAAAAGCCTGTATGGCTTTGCCTGATATCTTTGGTAAATTCTCAACTTACAGTATTACTTTCTGTATAATTTTGAGTGCTTTCTTTATATGATGTCTTGTGACATGCATTTTTTTTCTTTACTTAAAGACAGAGGTAATGATAACTGGTTAGTCAGATATGAAAAGCAAGGTGATGAACTTAACCTGTCAGATAAGGTAAGAAAATAATCTGAAAATGTTCTGATTCCTACAGCTGTTTCTGGGCTCTGTTTATTTCGTATTTTTGGAAGAGCTCCTTTGTTATGGTGGTAGCCTTAAGAATTCTGTGAGCTGCAGTTTCTTTGATAGTCCTTCCTGAAATTTAAATTTACTTAAATTAGTGAAACTAAAGCCCATATTTAGTGTTCTAATGTATGTTATATTTTTGTAAGCACACAGGTGTCGCTAAACTTTGAAATATTCCTTCCATAGGATATTCAATGGACTGTAACTGAAGAATCTACTATTAAAATTGCTGCAATTGACAATGGCTTAGCATTTCCCTTTAAGCATCCTGATGAGTGGAGGGCGTGTATGTATTCTATTATTCAACCATCTTACTTCTAGACAAGTGATTTCTAAATAAGTGTTTGCAGTTTGGGTGATAATAAAGTGTAAAACCATCAAGCTAGCACCAAATGCTTTTCTTTTTGCAGTGGCATGTGTGATGTGTAATATAGTCCTTTGCTTTTTTTTTTTTTTTTTTTTAAAACTTAAAATACTCTTTTGTAAACTTAAAATACTCTTTAATAGAGCAGTATTAATACATAGATATTCACAAAGAATGATTCTTACATTTTTTCTAATTAGTGCTGTCAAAAGTGACTTGAGTGCAAGGGTATGCAAACTGTTTCAAAACTGTTCTAAGGGTGCTGTTGTGAATAAGTAGACAGCCTATTTAGTATTTTTCCTTGTTTTCAACCCTAGCTCATTTTGTAGAATTTAATATTAGGTTCAAGAGGATAAAAAAAAATTACATTCCTAGTAAATCTAAATTGCTTCTGAAAATCTCTCTGAATACTTACAGTTTAGAGGAAAGTGCCTGAAAAGGCTTAAAGATGTCTGTGAACTGTTGGCCGATTGGGTAATTGTTACAGTTAAGAGTGGGCTGGTTAATAAAAGGCTATTTAATTACCTGCTCATAGCTCTGTGCAGTCCTAAACATCTTGCTACTTGATAGCAATTTCCCACATATCTCTTATGCAGTCAGTTCTAGTTCTGTAGCTGTTATGTTATTCCAAAGGAAATTAAATTACTACACAAGGAGTAAGCTGCTTTTGTTTACACTATTTGTTGGTTAAACTAAATACTCAAAATATTAAATTCTTAAAATGTATGTTGTCACTGATGGAGTAAAACAAAAATAAAAATAAAAAATACATAGTTGTTGTTGTAGATGCAGCCAGATGAGGTACATTGAGGTAACCCAGTGCTGTGGAAGCACATATTACTGATTACCTCCAGGGAGGAGTATGCTGCTACAACAGTCGTAAACACTTGAAAACTTAATTTTTGCCTGTTGTTTTTTCCTATGTTAGATCCCTTTCATTGGGCTTGGCTTTCTCAAGCACAAGTTCCCTTCTCTCAGGAGACTAGAGACTTGGTTCTTCCTCGCATCTCTGACATGAACTTTGTACAGGATCTTTGTGAAGATCTTTATGAACTGTTTAAGGTGAGAGGGATGCTTCTTTGAATTTGGCATTTCTGATATACCTAACTGTTCCATTACAAGTACAGGCTAGTTCTTGTTTTTGATTTTGTACCCTTTTCTACCAAATCATTATATATACATAGTTACAGGAAGCTATGTCACTGTTGTGACTGAGAGTAATCAGCTTATCTGAAAACCTAATTACCTTTATATATAGTGAAGTTTCACATACTTGGTTAAGTCTAGTTAATTTTTATAGAGCAAATCTCTGTAAATTCTCCATTTAACCTGTCTCTGTAGTGTATATACACTTAAACTGAAGTAGCCCAATGAATCTGGCACTAATAATTGCATCTTTGACTCGGCTGCATTCAAAATGACTCTGGATTTTCAAATTCTGTAAAAGGGCGTAATAAATCCAGTGGTGGAAGAATTTCTTTGGCAGAGAAAAAATGAGGGTCCAGTGGTATAACATTGTGGTGGTGTTAAGGCTGCCTACCAGTGGGTTGAACTGTTACCTATTGATACGTTCTGCTTTTACCATGTGATGAATTTTGATGTTTATTTTGACGTAACTAAATTGTTTGCAGTAAGTAGATTTCTTTGAGTCGTTCTGTGACTCCTGGGAGCTTCCTATAGGTTTATTATGATGTTGATAGATACGACCGTGCATATTGCGAACTCGATAAACGTGCATACCAAAACCACACTGATAACAAAGGGATCACTTATAATAACTGTGACGTTTTATGTTTTCTTCACAAAGACTGATAAAGGATTTGACAAGGCTACTTTTGAAAACCAAATGTCTGTTATGAGGGGGCAGGTAAGACTGCATTTTAATATTATTTCATTTGTCACAACTTCTCAGGTGTTTGTGTTTGTATCTGGAAAATAACAAAGCTCCTATTCAACTGGAAGATACTTGAAGGCCTTTTCATCTGGGAAGAGTAAATTGAATTTTAATGGAGGCTTTTTTTGAAAGGGAGGAGATGATACCTGTATATTCTTTGATATATTAAACAAAACATTATTAAAATAAATACAAAATAAAGTTGTATTGATTTTAGAAGGTTGACTTCTTGGAAATACTTCTCACAATAAAGAAATCAGGTAGTAGAATTCCTTCATCTTAGCAGATGTCAGTACCAATGATTAGCAGAGTAATCCAGGCATTTCCAGATTAGAGTTTCAGTGATAAATTTAAGTCATTTTATAGTACTAGAACAAGAGAGGAAATGGTTTCTCTCTCCTTGCTGCTTCAAAATTGGTCTGATATACTGGAGGACGAAACTATAAAAATAAATTTAGTTCATTGTAAGTAAGCTGGGCATAAACCATTGGTTTGTGAAAACATAAGGGAATTGGGCTAGAGGAACTAAGACTCCCTTCTGAGTGCACTGAAACTGACTTGTCTGCATTTGTAAATTCAGCGTGGGTAGTTTAAAGCCAGACATTGGCAATTCCTAGAGTGGCTTTGTCTGTTTTTTTTTTTCCCCTGTAACAAGAAGCTTTATGCACAACTGCAGTTCTGTTTAGTCAAACATAATTCCAGTTACCATTAACTGTTCGCTGGCTAAAAGCCAGAGAACCTTATTCTTTATGAGTTTGAAAATTTAGTTTTAAGAGCTATTTCTGAAATAGATCTTTGAAAATCTTTGTGAAGTCACTGGAAGTATTCTGAAATATTCATCTATCTTAACAGAGTTAAGTCGTTTTTTAAGTTGTTTTTGTTTGTGCAGAATCAGTCAGCTACAGGGAATCTGTTGTTTAACAAAAAAAAGATACAGGCAAAGTCTAATCTGCATAGCTGAGAGAGACCTAGACAACAATGTCTAATTCAATTTGACACTAAAAAGTCCAGACCCTCTCGTCCAACTTCTTTTTTTGAGGTGGATTTCAGCAGAGGATTTTATTTTTGTCTCTCTGCCCTTGGAACTGTGTAATTGCAACAGATGTAATTTTTGTTTCAGGCTTGGATGTAGATAAAAGAAGTTTAACAGAATTATTCCTTAATGTTCGGAAATCCAGGAGCAACGAATTCTCTCAGCATTGATTTTTAGAGTTGCTTTTGATGTATGTTTGAAGGGGATTATGCAAGAGTGGGATAACCACATTGATTACGGAAGATTTTTTTTGCAGGATAGCAGAAAAACCCACCACTCTGTAGACATGTTATTAAAAATGGAGAATCTAGTTGATAAAGATAAGAAATACCAAGAACAATGTATCTTGCATGTGAGGGTATTTATGAGGCTTTAAATCTGAAGCACTGAAAGTATTTAGAAATACATTTTTGTGAAACAGGAAAAAATACTAGAAAGAGTTTCAAGCCCAATGTGAACAGTACTTGAGAATATAGAGACCATAGCAAATGGTTAATGCAGACCTTTGAACTTGGAAAATGTCAAGTGGAGATCCTGTAAGAACCAGTTTGCGGGGAAACCATGCAACAGTCTTAATCAGCGGGGTTCTTCATCTGGGAAAGCGTGCAACGTGGAAGTGTGGAACACACTGATCTGCTGTTCATTCCACAAGGAAGGAAGGAGATGTGCAGTGGGGGGAAAGGGGTTGAGATTACAGCTAATGCAAGTATGTCAGCTAAATTGCTTTTGAGTACTTGCCTTAGTTTTCAGTAAAGGAAACATCGAACATCATGTAAGATATCAGGATAGGTAGTGAACACTGAAGTTTTGGAAGGAGAGGAACAGATTCTTGGCAGATCTGAGGGCTGAATTTGAATCTTAGCATTTGATTTGGCAAATCAAATAGCAGTGGAATGTCATAATGTTATCACATGAGGTACTTCTACTTGCAGTAGATTCTTAAACAAATTTTGTAGAAGACTGCCTTATCAAATAAATGGAGTGATAGATATGTTTACAGTCCTGTTAACCACAATTTAACTTGTATGCTTGCACCTTACCTGCTTTCTACTCTTTTAGATACTAAACCTTACTCAGGCATTAAAGGATGGAAAAAGCCCCATTCAGCTTGTTCAGATGCCACGTGTAATTGTGGAACGAAGTAGCACTGGAAGTCAGGGCCGAATTGTTCATCTGAGTAACGCGTTCACACAGACCTTTCATAGCAGGAAGCCTTTTTTTTCCTCCTGGTAGCAACAAAAATATGTGGGGAAGAGTAAGCTTCTCTAACTTTGGTAAGCTACTTCTGTGTAAAGGCTCTGCAATAATGTACTTCTGCTGTATACCAAGAGCTCCAACTGCCATCACCTCAGAACTTAAATTCTAAAGACTTAAGAAATGTATTTTGAGTGTAATAAAAGTTTACAATTTTTGTGTCAAAATCATGAATTCATATGTCAGGGAATGAGAAGAACTTGTCCATACTGTATTTTTATAGGCTGAATTAATGTAATCTGAATAATACTAAAGGGAAGATGCACAGTTTGCAAATGCTGAGAAACTACTTTTGAATACAACAGAAATTCTTTTGGTTTAATATGAATATGAAAAGCTATAATCTATCAGTTTCTTTTTATATGTTCTTTAAAAAAAGTGGAATGTTTTATTTGATTGTGAAAATGCTTTTCCTTGAAGTTTCTGCCTCATATTTCAAGCTGTTAATAGATTTTCATAGGCTATTTACGTGGGGAAAAAAGTTATGCACTTAAGAAAATAATAATAATTTAAAAATCCTTGACACACATGTGAAGGGGGGGAAGGAGAGAGATGCTCAGAGTAGATTTTTTTTGTTGTTGGGATGCATGTTGGGACCAAAAATAATTAAATAGCTTTTAGTTGAATTACAGCAAAACTCATCCCCAGTAAGTACACACAGTTTTGTTTTTTTTTCTACTGTGACAAAATGAACTGAGTGTACATTTTGGAGGGTGAAACTTTACCTGTAGCTTTTATGTACTTCAGTACAAAAGTTCTGTATGCATAAATGTGGTATTTCTTTGTAGATAGATTACAACAAAAGAATTGCACAATGGTACAGGTTGGGTTTTTCCTTATAACTGTGTTAATTTGTAGTCACCAAAGTGGTTCTTCACTATTGATGACAGAAGCACTATTAATCACAAAGCTAGTCTGCCTCCTGAATTTCTAACCAAACACACTGTTATTTTTTGACTGGAAGAAAAAAAAAACCAACTTACTGTAATATACAGAGCACAGAGATTTATAATTGGACCCTCAACAATGTTATGCTCATTTGCCAATTTTCATTTATGTTTAAGTAATGTGACTTAAGACTTGATAGTCATGCTTCTAGATTTGTAGCTTATGTTATATGATAAATGTTTATTTTCGTAACTTTTCAGTGAAGACCAGGAATGGGAGAAAAAATTGCTGCTTTTATGAGAGAAACTTTCAGTATTTCAGATATTGCTGTATTTTGTAATTCTAAGCAATATTGCTGAACTCAAATGCTTGTATTTTATATAATTTTGGATGTAAATATTGTTGTAGCGTGTCAGCAATTCACATGATTAACTGAAGTGTTTAAGCCTTAAATGTTGAAAAATAGAAGAAATACAGTGTGATGGAGTTGAAAACTGAAATGACCACCTTTATAAATTTTCCATTATTTGTTTTTATCCAGTTTATTAAAATTTAAAGAAGGTATTTATGTACCAGACCTCCTACTGAAGAAAATAAATGTTAAAGTCTGAAACGCACAGGATTTTGACTCCAGTATTGTGTTTGTCCTACAGAGAGAATCCTTAATTGTCTCGTTTCATCTGTGTAACTCTTTGTACTAAGTATACTCTCTGTACCTGTTACATGGTGTAACTTTCTTGAGAGTACTGAGAAGATGTAACTGGAATGGCACTGCATAGTAAGATTTAATAATGTTGTCCATTATTATGATTTACCTTCTGTGCTGAAGAGAAGTATTTCCTCTTTCCTGGCTGTAGCATCTCACTGCTTTTTCATAGCAAGCATCATGGAGGAGGCTCAGAAGAGAGCTTATTGCTCTACAACTCCCAAAGGTTGTGGTGGGTTAGTGGTCAGCCTCTTCTCCCAGGTAACCGTGATAGGACAAGAGGGAACGGCCCTCAAGTTGCATCTGGGGAGGTTCAGGTTGGATATTAGGAAAAATTTCTTCTCAGAAAGAGTGGGCAGGGACTGGAGCAGGCTGCCCAGGGAGGAGGTGGAGTCACCGTTCACGGCAGCGTTGAAGGAAGGTTTAGATGTGGTACTTAGGGACAGGGGTTAGTGGCAGTGTTTGTGACAGGTGGATGATTGGACTGCTAGGTGATCTTAGAGATCTTTTCGAACCTCAGTGATTCCATTTGAGTTACTATGCCTTAGTGACCAGAATGCTTCTATATGCTCCCTAAACCCTGACAGACTTCTTGAGAGTACTGGTGGTGGTTGGAGAAAACTGAATGTAAAGCAGTACGGGGCTCCTTGAAGCGCTTTGCTGGGCGTGCTTTAAAAAACCTCACGTGCAGTCTATTCCTCACAGCCATCTCTCCCAATGCCCAGTTTGTAGCAGGAAACTACAAATTGTATCATTGTAGCAGAAAACGCTGGACAGGCGGTGCGTGCAACCGGTGGGACCTCGGTTAAGGTAAGGAGGAACTGAAGTTCACGCGGTGCAGGAGCACCAGGCAGAAGACGGCACCACGTATTCAGGGGAGGAGCATCGGAATCTATTGCTACTTCGGTAGGAGGTCGGCGCCACAGCGCTTGTCGCGTTCCCGCCTCCCTCTGCTTGCGGTGCTGCTGGGAAGGCTGTACCAACATGGCGGCCGGCGCTGAAGGGGCCGCGGGCGCAGGGTCGGGTGGGCTGGCTCTGCTCGGCGCTGTGCCCGGCGCTCCCTGCTGCCCGCACGGTGAGCAGCGCTCGGGCGGGATGGAGGAGCGGGGCCGGCCGGGAGCTCTGAAGGCCGCGAGGGGGGTGGCCGCAGATCCTGAGGGAGCCCGGAAGGCATAAAGCAGGTCTGTGGGCCTCATGTCGTTAGGTCCTGCTCTCCTGTTCGTGAAGACCAGCCAAGGAAAAGAGGAGGGGAGAAGATTCTATGCTTGTTCGGCTTGTAGGGACAGAAAGGATTGTAAATTCTTTCAGTGGGAGGATGAGAAGGTAAGAGGGCTGCTTCATGCTGAGGGGGTGTTAGGGTTTGGGTGGGTTTTTTGGGGGTTTTTTTTTTTTTTTTTTTTTGCTTTTTTGCTTTTTACTCTTTAACAGAAAACTGAAAAAATGTAAATGTCATTTTGGAAATCTGTGGTAATTGTTCTGTAAGTGCTTTCCTAACAGTATTCGGGTAGCAGAATGCTTTCTGTGAGGGGAAGGTGTTTCAGGTACGCTTTTCAAAGAGGGCTGCCCTACGCATTGAGCAAAAGTGGTGTTTGTTACTGTGTTACCAAAATACAGCTGAGTTGGGGCTGTGAGTTTTGCCACTATGGTGCGATGCTGAGCAAAGGATGGTTCTGACCTGGGAGGTCCTCATCTTCTGCAGTCCAGGCAGAGAAAACTGGGTGGGTGCAGCAGACATTGTGCAGTGCCCAGAGAGGGCGGTGGGGGTCGGATCTGTAAGTTCTGTGCCGATGTCTTGATACTGTTAGCTATGAGATGAGTGTGTTTTGTGGGAGTGATGGCACAGGCTCAGCAGAGGGCTGGTGTGCATTTAAATAATGGCGCACAAGGGTCTTCAGCAATGTTTCTGTCAGTCACGTGGAATAGCTTTTCAGAGGGAATTCTATCAATGTAGGAACATGTTAATAGTCTGTCCATTTCTTTGTTTATTGTAAGCACATTTTGAGATGTTTTCCTTGTATGTTACATGATGTAAAGGAACTGAATTCTTACATTTAGTTATTTGTTGCTGCTTGGTTTGAATTCAAAGAGACTTCTGTGTAGCTTGCCACTAAACTGTGGTCATGCTTGTTACTTTCAGCCAGGAACCCCAGGAATGGGACAGTTTTCCTGAGCAGAGGACCTGAAGCACAAGATCTTTGATGCACTCATTTTTGGTTAATCCTGAGATTTGATTTACAACATAGTGATTCCTGCTTTTTAACTTCTTAAATGCATAAATTTTACAGGTATCACAAGCTAGACTTGCAGCCCGTGAAGAGTATAATAGAAGTCATCAGCCGCCTTGTACTCACAGACAGAATGTGGAAAGGTATTATTGCTAAGTGCATTTTCATTTGTAGTCAGTCTTATATAAATGTAGAGACTTTGTATGAAGGCACGATGTTTCTGGATTCTTTGGAAAATGAAAGCATGGCAGAGGCATATGGAAAAATAAGAAAAGATTGTCTGTAAAGTAGCATTGAACATCTGATTAGAACACTATGCTTTCAACTCAGGAACTGTGCCTTTTTATTTTCATAGCTACAGTTTTCCTTATGTCAGTGCTCTTAATGTGTTAACAACAGGTCTGTAGCAGTGCAACTTCAGAAAGTTATTTCTGACTTGCACAGATTGTACAGTAACACTAATTTGTGAGTTATGTACAAGCAAGTAGTCCTGTATGTTTATAGTTGATACATTCTTCACTCTGTAATCTAGTTATTTTACAAATTCTCAATGTCTTTGACCATTGCATTACTTACTTGCTTTTAGGGGAGATTTTCAAAGTGTCCTATGAACACTTTTTTTCGTAAGTATTATTTCATTGACATGTAGTTAGTGGAGTTTTGCAAAAGCAGCTTAAACTATTTGCTTCTGTAAATGTCTTGAAAACATGAAACCCATTTGTATCTCCTTCCATTTCTTTTATAGAGATTTTTTCAAAATTGCCTTTTATATTTATAGATACAAGAATTTTGTTCTGTTGCCTCTATCGAAGAGGAGGTTTTGTCAGGAATGCCAGCAATTGCTATTGCCAGATGAATGGGAAGAACACTCGAGTCATCAGTTCCTGTATGATATCTCCACTGCCCAGCTAAGAAGTCCCAGTCAACTTTTGTATCCACTAGAAAATAAAAAAACAAATGCACAGTATTTATTTGCAGACAGAAGTTGCCAGTTTCTACTGGACCTTATTGTTTCACTAGGATTCAGACGAGTGCTGTCTGTTGGAACACCCAGGTACGTATATTAAGAGGTTCACTATGCTTTAATTGGTTGGCAGTATCCAGGCACTTACTGGGAACATGCTTTGAACTCACAAGACACACAGGAGGGCTGTAGCTGCACTGCAGTTAAATTCCCTCTCACCCACCTGTGTGGCTTTTAAATGTTGTGCTAATGCTTCTTACCAAAGTGACAGTGAGTTACTCAGGTTATGCGTTGGGGTTTTTATTGTGGTGATTCTCTAATCTCCACTGACTTACCATCTTCTAAGGCCATCATATTTTTCTAACTTTAAATATTGGCCAAATTGCTCCATTTTCTCGATCTGTTTGGTTTTTGGCTTAGTAAAATACCAGATGTTCTTGTCTTGCAAGATATTTTCTGAAGATGGTGGTTATATCTTACATTTCTTTGTTCTGATTATGCTTCAGGCTTCATGAAATGATCCAGTCAAAAGCTTTACAAGAAGAAGACTTCAGGGTTAGAAGCCTTCTGCTAGATATTGACTTCAGGTAGGTTTTGATAAATGTTATGTGTCTGAAGAGTATATGCAAAAATTTGTTTCCTTATTACTTTAAAAGATAAATTGGTGGTTATCTCCATTTCTTGTCTCTACGTTTTCACTTCTGCACCCTAACGGTAGTGACAGCTAGTTTATGAGGAAAAATAGTTGTACTTAATTGTTTCCATTATCGTGTTTTCAATAATTGGAACTCAAAAATGTTGTCTTTGTAAAGGCCTTATTTTCAATGTGAATGTCCCTTAGGGCAAGCAAGAAGTAACTCATATTTTTCTATTACTGTTAAAACGTATTTTACAGGTATTCACAATTTTACACAGAGGATGAGTTCTGCCACTACAACATGTTTAATCATTATTTTTTTGGTGGAGAGGTAAGGACAAGTATTTCTTGAATGCTTTGTGAAGCAATACGTGTTGTTGATACAAAATTTAGTAAGAAGTACTGGCTAGTCTAGATGGTTAGTTAGAAGACCACCGTCATGAGATAAAAATTGTCAGCAGTACTGGAAATAAAAAAACCAACAACAGTGCATCTTCAGTTACTCTTTCCCACTTGATTCAAAAATAAAGTCATGGGACTTCAGGAACATGCTGACTAACATTACTTACACAGCTTAACGTTTCTTTTATTAAAATGACAGTTTGGTGTGAGTTTGAGTTGTTGCCTATTATTAGTATAGGCTAGCCCTGTTCCTGTGTTGCTACCACAGAATAGTTGTATTCCCAGCCTTCATGAGCCAGGCAGATGCCACAGTACTCATTCACTGATACTTGAGAGGGAAGGTTTTCCTGGTTTACTCCAGGCAAGTAAGGTCAAAAGGCCAAACCCCCTTTTTTTCTTTTTTTTAAATAGAGGATCATAGTTTAATCTAATTCTAAGCACTCTTCTCAAAGCACTTATCCCAGTATCCTAACTCACTGTTTAGTTTTCCCCTGCCGTAATTAGTAAGCCATGACTGAGTTGCATAGACATTCTTACTGTAGTACCTTTCATACCACATAGGTCAGTTTTTTCTTTTTTTCTCATTCTAAAGCATAATTTTAGCAAGCTCTTAAAAATAAAAATAATCTAGCATGAAATGGAAAGCTGGCCTAAAAGCCTTACCTTTGAATTTCTTTGATTTG